GTCTACGCTTCCGATGGCGCTACAGCTGCTGGGCGGGGTCTATGGACCATCGGCTGAATGCCGACAGCAATTTTACGATCGCAGGCGGGGTGAAAAGGAGTCGCCCCTAGCATACCGGACGAGCCTCCTGGCGATGGCTAAGTCGGCTTTCCCTCGTATGGACGACGACGGCGTGGACGCAATGGTCACGGAGAAAATCCTCCTCCTGGCAGACGACCTTGACATCGCGGTCGTCGCACAGGAGGACGCGGAGATGACATCGCTCCAGGCGGCGCGGCTCCTCCACGCCAACCTCCTGTCACTGCGGCGGAAAGCCAGCAGGGCATCGGCGGGGCGTGCAGTGGCTGCAGCCACCATTCCGACGGAGGAGCTCTACGCCGTCGACCACCAACCGCAACAGGCGACAGGAGCACGGTCGGGCCGGGACGGGCCGGGCCGTTTCAACCGTCCGTCTCCTCCGACGGCGCTCCCGCGGTGTTTCAACTGCGGCGTCCGGGGCCACGTCGCCTCGGGGTGCCACGCTCCTCGACAGCGCGGGACGACACCTCAACGGGACGACGGGCCTCATCACAAGCTCCACCATCATAACCCGGCGAGTCGCGGCACCCCACATGTTTGGCCCACGCACACGCCCGTCACGCACTCAAACACCGCAACGAGAGGGGGGCCGATATCGCGCACCATCGCACCATCACGCACCACTCCGGGTACTCATATCGAACCCGGCCAGTGGTCCGTGCTGGCCGATCGTGTGGTAGCCGCATCGTCGGGGTCGTCGGCCGTTGTGGGGCACATCGACGGGGTTGAAGTGCGCATCCTGGTCGATACGGGAGCATCGGCGACCATTATTTCGGAGTTAATTTACAATATTCTCCCTGTCCGGAGCCGTCCTTTGATGCCTGTTAACGTACCATTCTATGCGGCTAACGGGGGCTCACTTGGCATCATCGGACAAATTCGTGCCCAAATTTGTATTGGGGAAATTAAATTGTCTGGGCCGATTTTTGTTTCCTCCTCGCTGGCGGTTCCGTGCCTGCTGGGGACGGACTTCCTGGCCAAAATGCCGATTAGGATATTAATCGACCAGGGATGTATTGAGCTCCCGTCGGGCAGACGCATGGCGTTTCTGCCATCGCCAGTTACGACTCGGACGGCGTTCGCGACGGTGCCGGCATTCGTAGAGAGAACGGTGCGCGTCCCTCCGGGGGCGCAAATGTTGATTCCTTTGAAACTTCGGCGGCCCTTCGCTAAGGGTATTGGGGCCCAAGGGGTTCTGCTGGGGCCGTCTAGGGCCGGGGTTAGTGGACCTCATTTACTTCCGGCCTAGACCATAGTAAGAGGGGACGGTGAACCCTTCATCGCGGTCCTCAATGTGGGCTCGCAGACGGTGGTGGTCCCACAGGGGACCGTGCTTGCTCACGCAACGCCGGTGCCATGTGAGGAACCCGTCGCAAATCACGTCAGCGTTGTCCCTGCGCCGCGACCGCATTCGGACAGCGATGAAGGGTGGCTCGAGGCGCTATGTGCGGGATCGACGGACCTGTCAGATTCAGAGCGTCAACAACTTAAAACACTACTGCGGGAATTTTCCGACGTTTTTAGTCGGAATAAATACGATTTGGGTTGTACTCACCTGCTGCGTCACCATATTGACACGGGTGACAGCGCGCCAATTCGCCAAAATCCGTTTCGGTTGAGTCCCGCCGAAAAGGACCATGTCAAATCGGCTGTTGATGACATGTTGGCCGCCGACATCATTTCTCCTTCCACCAGCCCTTGGGGAGCGCCGATCGTCCTGGTTAAAAAGCAGGACGGTTCGTTGCGGTTTTGCGTTGATTTCCGGCGCCTTAACAAAATTTCGGTTGCCGACGCATACCCGCTCCCTCGGATGGATGAATCGCTGGACGCCTTGGCGGGAGCGCGATTCTTTTCCACACTGGATTTATTTTCGGGATTCTGGCAGCCTCCTCTGGACGATGATTCAAAGCCTAAAACTGCTTTCCGTACACCGCACGGCCTGTTCCAATTCAACCGGTTGCCGATGGGCTTACACACACGCCGGCAACTTTCCAGCGTTTGATGGAATTGGTTTTGGCTGGATTGCAATGGGAGTCGTGCCTCATTTATTTGGATGACGTTATCGTCTTTGGTAAAACTTTTGACGAACATCTCCAGAGGTTGCGGGCGGTTTTCCTAAAGATGCGGGCTGCTAATTTGAAATTCAAGCCCCAAAAATGCCATTTGTTGCGCGATTCGGTGCGTTATTTGGGGCACATCGTGGGACGCTCAGGTATTGCTACCGATCCCGCCAAAACGCAGTGTGTCAGCTCCTGGCCGACTCCCACCTCGGTGGGAGAGGTCAGGAGTTTCATTGGCTTCGCGTCGTATTACCGACGGTTCGTCGCTGATTTTGCGACAATTGCCAAACCCCTGCACGCTTTAACATCTAAAGGGGTTCGGTTCCACTGGGGTCAAGAGGAGGAGGCTGCTTTCTGCTCCCTTCGGGACGTCCTGGTAAAAGCCCCTGCCTTGGTTTACCCCAATTTTTTTAAGCCCTTTTTGCTCGACACCGATGCGAGCAACACGGGTATTGGGGGTGTGCTTTCCCAGGTGGTTGATGGCATGGAACAGGTGGTCGCATACGGTAGTCGGGTGTTGTCTCCTGCGGAGCAAAGATATTGTGTCACCCGTAGGGAACTGTTGGCAATTGTCTATTTCATCCAACAGTATCGCCCATATCTGTACGGTCGGCATTTCACCGTCCGCACAGATCATGCGGCACTACAGTATGCCCTGCGAGTTCAACAACCATCGGGACAGTTGTCTCGATGGTTGGAGATTCTCCAGGACTTTGATTTTGAAACCACCTACCGTAAGGGCGTTCGCCATACGAATGCGGACGCTCTGTCGCGCATGCCAACCACCTCCGCATGTGCATGCCTCCTGGGGTCGGGACGTTGCAGGCCTTCAGGGGACGCATCGGTTCCGGTCTTGGCAGCCACCGACGACGACGAAACATTAATTACTAATTCGATCGAACAACAGGGAAGAGATTCCCTGTTGGGGTTGCCCGTCACTGAATGGGGGCGCCTCCAGATGGAGGATACCTCCCTCCTCGGGTGGCGTCGTCGCGTCGGGGGTGCTGGGCGGGTGAAGGGTGGTTCTGATGCATGGGAAATGGTGCAAGGTCTGCTGATGCATTGGGACGGGAAATCCCAGCGACATCGGCTGGTGGTCCCTTCTGGGTTGCGAGGCAAGGTGGTGTGGGCCGCGCATGAGCGCCTATTACACCTGGGGACCCAAAAGACTCTTGCCCTGCTACAACTTGATTTTTTTTGGCCTGGCATGACGTGGGATGTTGGGGATTTATTGGGATCATGCCCTCGGTGTGCGCAACGGAAACCGCCGGCGCGGGAGTCTAACCCACCCTTGCAATCGATCAAAGTGTCCAGAATAAATGAGCTTGTCGCGCTGGACATTTTGGGCCCATTTCCCGCCACCCCCAGGGGCAATAGATATTTGTTGACTGGTGTGGAGTATTTTACACGCTGGCCTATGGCCTGGCCCCTTGCAAACCAGTCGGCAGCAGCCATCGTGGAGGCCTTTGTTCAGGGATACGTCCTGGACAAAGGTGCTCCGGAGCGGCTGCTAACCGACCAGGGCAGAAATTTTTCCGGTAAATTACTCAAACAAGTCTGTGAGCTCCTAGGCACGAAGAAAATTCGTACCTCCCCGTATCACCCGCAAACTGACGGGATGGTCGAGCGCCTGCATCGCACCATTACGTCAATGATGTCACAGCAGGTCTCGGACTCGCAGACCGACTGGGACCTGCATATTCAAGGGGTCTTGGCGGCATACCGGATGGCACCCCATGCAGCTACGGGATTTTCCCCCTTTTACCTCATGTACGGTCGCGAACCCGACCCGCCTGTTCGCGCCCAGCTGCAGATCCCCGAGCCGCAAGGGAAAACTAAATTGGCTGACCACGTCAAATTTAATCTGGCCAAATTAACAGAGGCGCGGGATGCTGCAATGCTAAACTCGGACCTCCGTCAAAAGGCGAATGAGCGCCTCAGGCTGGGTCGGGCGCACATGATACAGTGGAAGCCGGGGGACAAGGCATGGCTGCACTGTCCCCAAGTGCCACTGGCAACCTCCTCTAAGCTGGTGCGGCCGTGGCGGGGCCCTGTGGAGGTGGTCGAAGTTTTGCGACCACAGTGCGTGCGCATTAAATGGGGGAAGCGGCGATGGTTCGTGCACCCCTCTAGATTAAAACCCTTCGTTGCGGTACACAAACCCACTTCACACATGCGTGGCCAAACGTGTGGGGGGTCGACCGACTCACTGGGTCCGTCTCCGTCGTTCTCACCTAATGCCTTGCCGGCCGTGCCACCTCCAGGTGCATCAGGACTGACGGGCTCACGCCCGACCACCCCTCCTGGGGATACCGACGGTCGCGCGGCGTCGGATGAGGACTCACTCCGGGACGGACAATTGCCACCTGACGGTCCGCCACCCGGAGTTACCCCGTGTGAGGGGCCCGCTGCAAGGACGCGCGCAAAAATGCGCAGACTGTTATGAGGCCGGAAGATGTGTACATAGGTTGGGTTCATTGTGTGTTGTGTGGGTGGTGTGTTCCCTGCCCATTGAAATGTACATACGTTGGGTTCACCTGGTGTTGTGTGTATGGTGGGTTCCCTGCAAATTGTATATAGGTTGTTTTTTTACGGAATTCGTATTTATTCAAGGGGGGGTGTGTCGGGTTGTTTTCTCTTCTTGCTGTTGCATTTTGTTGTGTTCTTGTTGCTGTTCAAAAATAGTGAGGCACACGCGCGGTCAAGGAGTAAATGCACTTTTATTGTCATTTTTGTATGTTGGCAGCCGGGACGGCTGCAAGCTATGCGGGGGGGGGGGGGGGGGGGGGTGATGTAGGGGTGTTAAAGAGAGGGCCCGTTATGCATGGCAGCCTATGGAAAACAAACACAGTGGGCGGGGCTACGTAGGTGCACGAGGAGGTGCCCTCTACGACGTCCGAGCCAGACACCCTGGGGGGGGGCTGGTTCGAACGTTATGATCCCCCGGGGCCCCACCCCTCAGGGAGGGGTTGGGTATAAAAGGGGATGTTTCAAAGGGCTCGGGAGTTATGTTTTAAGCTAAAGGAAGAAGACTGAAGACGTCTTAGATAGAGCCCTGGACTCCCCTAGTTCGATGTCCTTTTCAGGGCCGGACAGGACTGAGCCAGCGGCGTGGCCTCGAAAGCCAGAGCCGGTGCTCTTGTAAGAGCTGGTCTGGAACTCCGGGTACCGGGCCCGACTTACCAGTGTCGGGCCAGATAGCCTCCCCTAGCCCATCAGTGGAGGACTCGGGGCTAGGACAGAGTTAGCTAGGGGTGTATCCCGAGTTATACGGGTGAGGGGGCCGATACCCCCTCGAGTGTTATATGCCCACTGTCGTATTGTGAAATAAATATACGTGTGCCTCAACCTCGGTGTCAAGCGTCCTCACCGGTACTTCATATGTATAATCCTGCAATGTAAGCTACATGGCAGGTCTTTATTTTTATAATTTTGAGAAAATATGCAAATTAGAACCGGTTCAAACCGTTTTCCGCAACGGTTGTCCACATCCGAACCTTTAAAACTAATTTCGAGTCGTTTAAACCAGTGAATGGTTAAAAATTTTATTTCGGTGCACCCGAACCGCAGCCGAAAACCCATCGGATCAACGCGCCGGTTATCAAAAAATACCTCCAAATACTGCCGCTGCCTGGAACTCCTTCCCGTTAGTTCGTCGACGGAAAACGTCGGCGTGGCGATGAGGTTTTAAAAACCCTATATTAATTTGAATTCGCTAATTTCTCCATGGGGCGTTCGCCCTCTTGTTCCGACGGTGAGCGACTCAAAGAGGCGCGGAGAGGAACCGCGGACGAGCAGGGAGGGAGAGGCCACGCGGTGAGCCGGTGCCAAGAAATTGCCCAAGCCGTGTGGTCCTCTACATGTTAAGGTGTTCATCGGCCAATTAACCCTTTCATTGTTCCGATACGTCTGCAAGTTGCAGGGTGTGTTGGGGGGGGCCGTCCCCGTTTGCCCCCGAGTCTCGGAACGCGCGAGAAGCTCAGCGTTTAAAGAGACGTAGAAGTGAGGCGCCATTGTTTTTAAAAAGCATCAACTAAATGCTAAACTATTTTTTATTTCATACCAGGTAAGGTTCACCGAGCAATATAGCTCTATTTTCAGACGCGACGTGGCCACAAATGATAGTTCAATAAAGTGGCCTATCATGTGGAAATTTACAGCAGCTAAATACTCTAAACGCATGTTGATTCTAAATGTGGAGGGAAAAACCGGAAGACCCTGGAAAAAATCCATGCGACCTCGGGGAGAACATGCAATCTCCAAATATCACAGCAGGCGGCAGGGTCGGGATTGAACCCACGATCTCCTGTATACCAGGCGAGGTGGTTAACATCTCACCACCGTGGAATCCAATCTACTCACCGCAGAGAACCGTAGTGACATGACCACCGCACTACAATAGTTGGCACCAAATTGGTGCCACACGCCCTCCCGCATGGCCTTGTGGGAGTCTCGGTACCGATAAGTTATTTTAGTTTTTCTTCTGTTTTAGTTTTGACGACATACACGTACGTCATCAGAACAGGAAGGGGTTTACGAGTTCTTGGGTGTGGAAGGAGATCGGAGAACTCGGAGAACACTCACGCGTGCGAAGGGGAAACATCTCTATTCCTCATACAGACGTAAGAGGCAGGGTCCACACACGTTACATTGTACCACCTTCTCGCGAGCCAGGGTCCTCTGGTTTTTCCCTCCATATTTAGAAACATGCCTTGAGATGATTTAGATTATTTTGATGCTATAAATGTCCAAATGCATGGCCACTTTGTTGAGCTATAATTTGTGGCCAGGTCGCTTATGAAAAATAAGTTAATACCTCAGTGGTAGGATGGGGATGGTTTAGTTTTATTACATGCTTTTTTTTAACTCACTCTCTGTTGTTGTTGTCGTATCCTCAAATCTTGTAACTCAATTTTAACCCACTTCCCAATGTGGCATCGACTGCAAACTTGGTATACTTATGTCATACTGATGACAATACTATATTCTATCATTAAAAATAAATATTTTTAATCATTTTTTTTTATGTTTCGGCTTGGGTCTAATTGTCTACGGTCAACTCAAGTTGCCTGTAAATCACCACAGCCCCTTACGTTATGGCAAGCCTCGGGGCCACTTCCAGGAGTCGTGGAGTTCTGCCATTACGTACGGTACATTTAATTAAAGCGTGTTTAAAAAAAGTACTTTTAAATATTACTTATTTGTATGTGTTTGGGTGATTTGTTTATCTGTCTTGTACTCCTATCATGTTTTTGTACTGTTTGTTGTTCTAACGTTCTTACTCCGTGCCCCTACTGGGCATCTGTGAACAAGAGCTTTATAGCTCATCGGATTCCTCCAGAATAAATATACTGATTCTGTATGGATCCTACTCAATGTGCACAGGGGGGAGTTTCACAGCATTTGGGAGATTCACCAACCCTCGCCTCCAGTACTGAATTACAAGCGTACATGCCACCACTTTGATGTTTATCACGCAGTAGTAGTAGGAGGCTTTCCCGACCAATATTATTCATAATAAAGGTTGTTTTTGTTTGGATTAGACTACGTAATTCTATTCTGGCAAATCGCCTGACGAGGCTGGTTGTTGTAATCGCCGGTGAAACCTCACGATACTCGAATTGTAAATGTTGTGGGTTTACTCTCCAACACACAACCGGTTAGTGCTGAAGCAGTAACGAACTGGCAAGTTTTGCTTACGCGACAAACCTCACCGATTGGCTGTGGTCGGGTGGTGGCGGGTTTAACAACATTTCTATTTACGTGATCCTTTCGTGAACTTTATTCAACCACAATCAACGTCAACTTGTTCGATAAAAAAAACATGTTGAAATTCCAAGATGAACAAACAACGGAAAGGGGGGGGGGGGGGTACAAAAAACTGCCGACAATAAAACTGATTTGAAAATCGATGATAAAAAAAAAACTTTCGCCGCTGCGTTACACCCAAAAAAAAAGGCAAACTACATGGACGTCGAGGGCTTTCCTCACTCGCCGATGTGCATGCTAAAGAAATGCTTCTTCAGAGCATCGATCTGTAAAAACCCCTTTCCGCAATCCTGGCACATGTACTGCTCCTCGCCGGCGTGCACCTTCGAGTGCTTCTTCAAGTGGGAGGGGATTGCAAAGGCCCTCCCGCAATCTTTGCACACGTGTGGCTTCTCGCCGGTGTGCGTGAGCACGTGCTTCTTCAAGTTGCATGGGAGTGAAAATCCCCGCCCGCACTCGTGGCACACGTGTGGCTTCTCGCCCGTGTGCGTTATCGAGTGCTTCTTGAGATCGGAGCGCTGCGAAAAGCCGCTGCCGCACTCCTTGCACACGTGCGGCTTCTCGCCCGTGTGCGTCAGCGAGTGCATCTTCAGGTGCGAGCTCTGCGAGAAGCCCTTGCCGCAGTCCCGGCACGCGTACGGCCTCTCGCCGGTGTGCGTCCGCGAGTGCGTCTCCAGGTGGAAGCGGTGCGAGAAGCGCTTGCCGCACTGACGGCACTCGTGCGGCCTCTCGCCGGTGTGCGTCCGCGAGTGCGTCTCCAGGTGGAAGCGGTGCGAGAAGCGCTTGCCGCACTGCGGGCACTCGTGCGGCCTCTCGCCCGTGTGCGTCCGCGAGTGCGCCTCCAGATTGGAACGCCGCGAGAAGCCCTTGCCGCACTCCCGGCACACGTGCGGCGCCTCGCCCGTGTGCATTATCGAGTGCTTCTTCAGGTCGGAGGGCTCTGCGAACCCCTTCCCGCACTCGGCGCAGGTGTGCGGCTTCTCGCCGGTGTGCGTCCTGAGGTGCCGGTTTAACCCGTACTGATGCGAGAAGCCCTTGCCGCACTCCAGACACGCGTGCTTTCTCTCGTCGTTGGCGCCCGTCGCGTCACGACCTCCCGACAACTTGTCGTCCGGGTTGGGCGCCTTCCTGGGGGGCGTCGTTTGCAGGCATCTCTCCTCTCCGGCGCTTGTCGCCATCCTGCTCCTCCTCCTACGCCGAATATTGACGCACCACGTGGCGCTGTCGAGCATCTTGCCGCACTTGGCGCAGGCTCGCTGGGTCCGGCAGGAGGCGCGATCCACCTCGCCCACGCTCGTCTGTAGGCACGCGCCAAAGTCCTTCGCGCACTCCTCGCACAGGAGTTCCACTTCCTCGTCTGCGGGAAACGTTTTCGAAAGAAGAAAAACAAACGAACGCGGACGCATTGGTTGGGAGGAATAGAATGTAAATAAAACAGTGAGGGCCTCAGCTGCACGACTCCCCACATGTTTCAAAACGCCCCTGCCGTGATGCCACTAGTGGAGTGCAATTGCAGTGCTTATGAAGATTACTTACAAGTGTTTTATGTCATTAATAAATGCTGGCTAAACTAAAAAATTCAACTAAATCAAATGTTTTCCCCAGGTAAGGCCCCACTGAGCCACGTAGCTCTTTTTCAGAAGCAACCTGGCTATCACATTATGAAAGCCCACCGAAGTGGCTTATCCCGTGGAAATGTATAGCAGCCAAATGCTCTGAATGCGGGATGTTGATTCTAAATGTGGAGGAAAAAACTGGAGGACCCGGAGAAAAATCCACACGACCACAGGGAGAACATGCAATTTTAATATATATAGCAGGCATCAGGGTCGGGATTTAACCCCAAAACCTCCTGTATACCAGGCGAGGGAGTTAACATCTCGCCACTGGTAGTCAGGTAAACAGCCTAGCTCCATGTATAGAATACATTAGCTATTTGGTTTGGTTATACTTAGATGGGAGAGAAGCATTACTACCTCAAAGTGTCTTAATCTAATCGCCCCTCCACGGCTCAACACAACCTCCTGGACTCTTTCGCTTTAGCATGACTGGGATATGACTCGTGGTAGAACAAACAAGAAATTATTTTATCGTCTCTGGAATGCTCTCAGAGGTACTCACCTTGACCATTGTCCTCCTCGAGCAACTCCACCTCGATGAACTGTTTCACATCTTCTGCCCACATCTCCACCTTGATCAGCTTTTGCTCCGGAGTGGATACACATCCACGGGAATCCCCCAGCCCCTGCGGGCTCTCGCTGGCTTCTTCAGCTTTAACAACATTGAAAAAAAAATCACCTCCCATTAGCGCGGTTGGCTACGTACAGTGTGAAAAAAGTTAAACATACAAACATATACAGACTCACACAGAGACCCATAGACTCACACAGAGCCCTATAGACTCACACAGAGACCCGTACACTCACACAGACTCATAGACTCACACAGAGACCCATCGTTTGTTGTCCTTCCCCCGCAACTCCAATTAGCATGGTTAACTACGTATGGTGCGTAAGAAGTTCAACATACCTTCAGTCTGTTCTCCTATAATGCGGTACAGTAGTCCCTCGGTTAATGTTTTTAAAACGTTACACGAAAACTATTGTTAACCGAAATAACTGTTTATCGAATTCACGTATTAGTTGAAAAATAAGTAAAAAGGCTGCAAAAGAGCTGTTTCCACTGCCAAAAAAAAAATACAAACAAAGCCCGTCGAGGTCTAAATGCTCATAAACGGGCATCGCTGATTGGCCGAGGGCGTGGCTCAGCCTCAGTTAACGAGTGCTCGGATTGGCCGAAATTGGCGCTCGCGTGGATATAACCTATCTACGTGACTTTACCAAAAGATCCAAAAATATAAACACGGTACCGTTAGTCAACATTTTAACGTTAGTCAAAACCAGGGGGCCTTTGGGAGGCGAAACGTTAACCGAAAAACCGTAAACCGATTACGTCACTGTTAACCGAGGGACTACTGTAGTTACGTTCCTGAAGAACACCGCGTTATGGAAAAATGGCATTCTAATAATTATTATAGGGGGTAAAGCAGCAGTCCGCGATAACACGTGAGATGCGTAATGCAGACTGAACAAAGACTGAGGCACCATGGGTAGCGTCTAGAAGCATCCAGCAGCATCCCAGTGCCTTATGTGACAATGATGCTACGCTGAGGCAGCTGTACAACCTCTTATTCCTACTCGCATAATAATAGGGTTTTTCCCCTTTTTTCTGGCAACAAAAACTGAAACCTTTTTACAAAGAATCATGTCTGCATTAACCACAATACTTGTGGTCAAAATGCAAACAAAAAACACACTGATAATTAATGCATTGTCCTTGAAACGGATTGGTCCACACCAGAGACGGCTATCTTTTGAGCCTCGTCTCAATTGGTGCTAGACCAGAGGACGCCAAAAGGCATACAGCTCAAAGACAATGCACTATCAAAGTAATAAGGGCTCGGAGTAAGCATCTACATCATTATATTATCAGTGTGATTTTTGTTTGCATTTTGACCACAAGTATTGTGGTTAATGCACACATGATTCCTTGTAAAGAGGTTTAAGTTTTGTTGCCAGAAAAAGGGGAAAACCCCTATTATTATATTTTGGTACTGGCAAAGGAGGTCTAATGATACATTAATCGCGTTATACCTAATTCGCGTTGTCAAAACAACACGCGGCGTTACAGAAGAACGGAATGTACATGCACAATTTATAAAACGCACCGTGGTCTTTGATAGATGGGAGATCTATCGCTTTACACAACAAGGCAATCGCACATGTCAGACAGGCACGTTTTGCCCACAAATATTATAATTCTCATTGTTGCCAAAGTTGGAACGCTCATTCTTGTGCTTTAAAATCCAACCGAAGCAGCGGCAGATATTAATTTGAAACAGTGGGTGTGAAAGGCGCTCGATAAAGATGATAATTATTGTATAATCTCATGTGCTGGCTTGGATAGATCTTGTTTTGTTACCACAGTAGACTCTCGATTATCCGCGCTAATGATGGGGAGGATGGCCGCGGACAATAAAAAATCGCAGATAATCCAAAAATATACATTTTCCGCGGATCTCTATGCAAAAAAAACACTAATATTGGAATATATTATGTTTAAGCTAAGCAAATTGAGTTCGTCATTGCATAGTTTCGTTAATTAAAACTCACAAAATAAATGATCGGATAAATCACTCAAAATGAAGCACAACTGAAGATTTCGATTTGTTACTCTTTCGATTTAGAACGAACGCTCACGATCAACCGAACGATGATGCGTGTGCTCAGCGATAGTAACACTCTCCTGGTCCTGCCCAGTAGAAGATTCCGGCCCACTAAGTCGATAGCAGCGCCACGCCAATCAAAATACAACTCGGCCCACTGTTGTAAAGATATGGTAAATCCTGCACTGTAGGGTAGATCACGTGTATTTAGGATTCACCAGAGCACATATTTGTTCGGTTTAAGCACGTAACTTCATTGGAAGGACGTTATCAACCAGTTTAAGTCATAACTGGTTGTGATGTTCCCTTCCTGCCACCTTCCGATAAGAATTTTATTTATTTATTTTCCCCATGGCTTCGGCTCTCCGATTTCACATTAACAGGTTGAATTTCTTGCGCCAACGTGGCCACCTATGGACGCCGACCTTTACGTCGCGATGGCTCTGCGATCTTACATTAACATACTAATCTCTCACATTAACATAGCCACTCGCGCACTCGTCGCAGATGCCGCTCTCCGATCTTTCATTAACATGCTAATTTCTCACATTAACATCACTAGCCCCGCTCACTTCATTTATGACCCTAGGACTACACCTATTAAACAGTCTGCATTTAGCAGCTTTCCTCCTCTTTCCTCCTGATGACGATCGCTTGTATTGTGATCGAAACGTCGTAGTTTTTTTAAAATTTTGTTTCAACCATTTACGTGACTTTACCAAAAAGACCCAAAGAATACGGTAGTCTCTTGAATATCTATGAGTGGTTTATCCGATTTGCGGATTAACCGAGCACCTGAGATTTTGATGTAAATGAATAGCTCATGGTTTTTCCCTTCAGCCCAAATTTATACACGGACATTCGACTTACGAACTTTCAGAGATATGAACAAACTTGTCTCTATGTCCAGTTGCCTGTTCGGACCGAGAGTCGTAAGTTCAACCGCCACGAAATAGATGGCGGTAGTGGCATCTACGTCTGCCCAACATCAAGAACCAGTGGCATCTTCATCTACAGGAGATTATACAACTTTTGAAGCCATTCCTCGTATTTAGTGTACACGCAGTAAAACGTGTTTGGAATCAACAGGAGTAAAGTTGGACTTACGAACAAATCGGCTTCTGAACAGACCTCTAGAGGATGGTGGTGGGAATCAGGCTTTAGATAGGAATCCGTGTGGGTGGCTTTCCTGTAGACAGAATGTCCCACGAGCCATCAGGTCTCTTCTCGATCAAAAAATCCAGGAATGATACTTGCCATCATTTTCTACTTCTATGGTGAATTTGATGGATGGGTGTATGGAATTGATGTGGTTGAAAAATTGGTCCAGTACTGTATGGCCATGTGACCAGATGATGAACGTGTCTTCTACGTATCTTTTACACAAGGAAGGACGTAGGGTGGATGTCTGGATGGCATCTGTTTCAAATTTCTCCATGAAAACATTCGCTACTACTGGCGACAAGGGAGAACCCATAGGGGTACCTTCATTTTGTTTGTAGAATGTACCATTCCAGGTGAAGTATTGGTAAGGCGGTGCCAGGCACAGGTACCTTGGTGAACAGAGACTACATTGACGATGGGGCTCATTTTACATTATACCCGTTTACATTGACATGCCAATCTCTCACTTTAACGCAGCTGCTGTGCTTGCGTGCGGCGATGGGACTCCTTTCCATCTCTGACCCCTCCTACTTACCCTTGGGTGACACCCACCTCAAACCTATATATAATTTCTTGTTGCAGCAGCCATTTCTTGTTCAGCAGTTCTACTGTTGTATCTTTCCACCTGATGACAATTGCTCGTGTTGTGATCGAAGCGTCGTGATTTATTATTGATGTACTGTGTTAAATCGAACCTGGATCTTGTGTTTGTTCTTGATTTTGGAAATATTTTTGGTGACCCCTGCTATGTATGGCAAGGTGATGATTTTGATTGGGTCCTCAGATGGTTCTTTCCCAACAGTTGGGGTGATAGCCTACGGATTGTGTAGTCTGAATATCCATTCATCTTGAGAGCTTGGTGTACGTGTTCCAATTCACTGGCTAGGTGGTGATGGTCGGAGATGCGTCGAGTTCTATAGTGTAGAGTTTTGATGAGGGAATTCTTCTGGGATGGTGTTGGGAATCAAGTTTTAGGTAGGCATCCGTATGGGTGGCTTTCCTGTAGAAAGAGTGTCCCATTGAGCCATCTGGTCTATTTTCGATTAAAACATCCAAGAATGGTAGCTTGCCATCCTTTTCAACTTCCATGGTGAATTTGATGGCTGGATGTATGGAATTGATGGAGTTGAGAAATTGGTTCAGAGCTGGTCGGCCATGTTGCGAATATAATCGGTTCGTTCTACTGTAGTTTATTTGTTTGTTTGGCCTTCGTCTTACTTTGAACTATAGTTTTTTTTTTCAAAGTTGCTGTAGAAATGCGTTGATGATGTGTAACATCGTATAGGTGTGGGGATGGGAAAAAAAAGCTGAAAGTGATTTGATTTTCTGGGAGGCCCAACTGAAAGTTATTCGCAATTTGCACAAAGTGGGGCAGCCCGTCCTATCAACAGGGGCTTAACGTGACAATCACATGACACTCACCTGACCGTCCAGAGTCATTCACCACTCACCTGACACTCATCAGTCCAACTCACCCAATACCTCACCACTCATCAGATTATACAATACAGTGGGAAGCCCGTTTTGTGATTCATTTTGATGTCAATTTGTCCTGCAATGACAATTCAATTGCGAATATAATCGGTCCGTTCTATAAGTACTCTCACCGGCATCGGCACGTATCGCCGTGAAGTCACGACACGGCCCAGGTTTTGGACGTTCTTCATATTCTTGCTTGACGAGCGGTAATTCAAGGTGTGAAGCCATCTGAGGAACACAAAGGGACATTTAACCGTCTAAACAGACTGCTGTGCACTTTTAAATCGTCTAGATCGAAAACTCATTTATTTAAAACTGCTTCATGTTGTGCATTTAGTTTGTTGTCCTTCCTACTCCCCCCGCACACCTCGGATTGGCGCGGGTTGGCTACTAACGGTGCGAAAGAAGTTCAACCACACACAGAGAGACAAGGTGGCCTGTGGCTTAAAAAAGCTCACAACGGCTGAGCTGGAAACTGCTGAGATTGGCGCAGGTTAGCTACGTACGGTGCGAAAGAAGTTCGACGTACACATACGCAAGCAAGCCAACAATTGGACACGAGCACACACAAACATTATCATGGCCGGCATCACGAAATCTCTACGAGGCACAACACAGCACACCTGTCAACCCCTTATCAGTGCCCTACCTTATTACAGAACAATTCAGACCTTAGTGGTCACCCCGTGCCCTTATAAATCTCAACGTTCATCCTACAAAGTCCCACCACAAGGGAGAAACAGAAATAGCCAAAACAAATATTTTGCCCGTATTGAAATGGCTGTACGCCGCATAGACCTGAAAACTCAAATTTCCCTGTACAAGAATACGGGGCGAACCGTGTGGGTTGACACGGTGTGATACAGGCAAGCTCTGTGCACAAGGTGCCAGTGAACATTATTAGCGAATAGACACACGCGCACCATTCAAGAGACAGCGATCATCACAACTGTTTGACGTTAAAAACGGGCAAAAAGCAGTTCTGAAGATGATTTATCAATCGATTGATTATTCCGACGTAACGGCGTCTCCGCCGTAATAAACACAGCCGAGTGTGATGATGTAGGCTGATTCGCATATTTAGAACTGTATTTATGTTTGCTTGTGTTGATAATTATTGTGCGACGGAGTATGCTGATTTCGGAAGTTGGGTGAGTCAATGGATAGCGCAACTCTCTACAAATCCTCGTTCCGTCTCATTCCGTGTCGTCTCTCTGCGTCTCTCTGTGTCCCATTGTCTATCTGTCTACATGTGCATGCAGTATCCCTGTTTCTGCCGCTATCCATCTTCGTCTCGGTGGCTCCGTGTATCTCTCCAAATCCCCGTTTTGTCTCACTCCGTGTCTCTCTGTGTCTCACTCCGTGTCTCTCTGCATACAGTGGTATCTCTATGTGTGTGTCCCTGTGTTTGTGTCGCTGTGTATATTTGTCTCGGTGGCTCCGTGTCTCTGCGTATCCGTGTCTAAGTCGGTGTGTCTCTCTGCATGTGTCGCCACGTCGTGTCTCTCTCCGCCTCTCTGCGTGTGCCCGTGTCTGTTTCTCTGTCTGTGTCTCTCCGTCTGTCTCTCTCTATGTGTACGTGTCTATGCCTGTGTGTACGTGTCTCTGTGTGTACGTGTCTATGCCTCCGTCCGTGTCTCTGTGTGTGTACGTGTGGTTGTGTACGTATCTGTGTGTGTACGTGTCACTGTGTGTACGTGTCTCTGTATTTGTCTCTGTGTGTACGTGTCACTGTGTGTGTCTTATTTATCCGCCTCTCTTACCGTGTCCTCCTGATTTCTTGTTTGATTCTTTCTCACGGACCCGTCTGGGATAGGAGGGAAGGGCCAGGGAGGCCCCAAATTCGACGCCCAAATTAATCGGCGTGTCTCTCTCCCCGTGTCTCTCTCTCCCCGTGTGTCCCTCTCCCCGTGTCTCTTTGTCCCTCTCCCCGTGTCTCTCTTTCCCCGTGTCTCTCTGTCTCTCTCTCGTGTGTCCCTCTCCCCGTGTCTCTTTGTCCCTCTCCCCGTGTCTCTCTCCCCGTGTCTCTCTCTCCCCGTGTCTCTCTGTCTCTCTCTCTCTCTCGTGTGTCCCTCTCCCCGTGTCTCTTTGTCCCTCTCCCCGTGTCTCTCTCCCCGTGTCTCTCTCTCCCCGTGTCTCTCTGTCTCTCTCTCGTGTGTCCCTCTCCCCGTGTCTCTTTGTCCCTCTCCCCGTGTCTCTCTCCCCGTGTCTCTCTCTCCCCGTGTCTCTCTGTCTCTCTCTCTCTCTCGTGTGTCTCTCTCCCCGTGTCTCTTTGTCCCTCTCCCCGTGTCCCTCTCCCCGTGTCTCTCGCCTGCAGTGACCTCTCCTCCTGGAGCCCGGCAAGCGACAAGATGCAGCGACGGCGGCGAGCGGCAAGATGCAGCGACAAGACGCGGCTGGGTCGGCGACGAGCGGCTGAAGGTCGACACGAGAGAGGCGCGGGGTCGTGGACGCGCCTCGTTGAGACCTTTTGGGAAACAAATCCGATCGTTCACGACAATTGTGAAGAGCAGTAGGAGGTGGAAGGGGGGTGGTGCGTCGCTAAACCTGGTTTATCCGGGATGTTTCTGTTGCGCGTCGTCGCTTTAAGATGTTCTCTGTTCATATTTTTCGATTTAAAGCTTTCGTGACTGCAGGGATTCATGTTCTTGGTTCTTTCGGTAAAGTCACGTAGAAGGGAAATAATAAAATAATAAAAACGAAACAATACCATTTTCACGACGTTTCGACTGCGACACAAGCAATCGTCATCAGGTGTGAAAACCACAGCAAGAAAATTTGCTGTGGTTTTCAAGAAATTTTGCTGTGGTTTTCAAGAAAATTTGCTCTGGGTTTCACACCTGATGATGATTGCTTGTGTTGCAATCGAAACGTCGTGAGAATTTTATTGTTTTATTTTTATTATTTCCCTTTTACGTGACTTAACCGAAAGAACCAAGAATATGTTCATATTTTGTTTGTTGCGGTTGTACCTGAGTCAAGATCCGCATGGCTCACAGGGCTCTACCTAATACGTGAACTTGAAACAGCCGACACGGTCGATTTCGGAACGGTGGCCTACATGGGACCCTGTTGCTTTTTTTGGGGGGGGGGGGGCAGTATCAAAGCATGACAAAAAAAACAAAGAGTATACTTTACGTGTTAAATTTTAGGTGGTGTTAAAATGTTAAAACACCAAATAGCCACACCGGGCACTTGTGGTGAACATGCAACCAGAGACAGCTTTCTTTATGGCCTAGTCCCACCACCGGTGTTAGATCGGAGAACACCAAAAGACGAACAGTGCAAGGACAATGCACTGTCAGGGAATCCGTAGCTCGCGTGAGCGGCTACAACATGGGATACCTTTTTGGCAGTATCAAAGCAGAGAAAAACATCAGAATCTGCTTTACCCTCTCTGGCAATAAAACAGGAGGTGTTAAGCCGTTCACACACCAAATAGAAACCTTTTGCAAGGAGTCAAGGTACCTCATTGACCACACACAGTACTTATTGTGAACATGCAAACAAACGTGCTCTGGTAATATATGGGCATTGCCTTTGAAACTGATTGGTCTACACCAGAGACAGCTTTCTTTATGACCAAGTCTCACCACGAGTGTTAGACCGGAGAATCCTAAAAGGCGAACAGCACGTGGACATACTCTTTGGTTCTTTCGGTAAAGTCACGTAGGTATAGAATAAAATAAATCACGACGTTTCGGGCACAACACAAGCGTCCATCATCAGGTGGGAAAGCATGGTCTGCTGCTGAGGCTGACTGTTTTAAAACAGATGACGGACGCTTGTGTTACGCCCGAAACGTCGTGATTTATCTTATTTTATACCGACGTGACTTTACCGAAAGAACAAAAGAGTATGGATTCCTGCAGTCACGAAAGCTTCAAATCAAGTACAAGGACAATCTTGACTTAAAGCTTTCGTGACTACAGGAATCCATACTCTTTGGTTCTTTCGGTAAAATCACGTAGGTAGAAGAATAATTGATCACGACGTTTCGATCGCAACACTAATCGTCATCAGGTAAAAAGATACAGCAGTAGAACTGCTGAACAAGAAAGGGCTGCTGCAACAATAGATTATAAGCAATCATCAAGTGGGAAAACCACAGCAAGAAAACATTTGCTGAAGTGGGAGAGAGAGCTGCCGTGACTTTACCGAAAGAGCCAAAGAGTATAGTACAAGGACAATGCACTATCAGGGCATTTGCAGCTCTCGTGAGCAGCTATATCATGGGACACATTTTTTGCCATTATTAAAGTCTGAAAAATAAGGGTTTACTCCTTCTGGGAAAAAAAAAATTGGTATTAAGATGTTCAAACACCAAACATTTTCTCTTTGGCTGCTATACATTTCCAAACGATATACCACTTTGTTTAGCTATCATTTTTGGCCATGTCGCTTCTGAAAAATAAGCTAAAAGTTCCGTGGGCTTTACATGGTAAAATCAATATCCATATATAGTAGTGATTTGCTTACCTTTCCAATACTTTTCACTCCTATCGTTTATTTTTTATTGTCATCCGACACTGAGTTGGAGGCAGTCGCCCTCGAGCAACGGAGGGCAGAGGTTCGCGACGCTCACAACAACGAGCGGAGCACCGTGCGGATAAAACGCAGCGGGTTGATTGGCACAGGTGGCGTATCGGACATAAGCAGTGCCGGATTGTGCGGGATCTGTAGCAAATGTTATAAGGGGACCCTAAATAAATAAATATTCAAACATTTTCTTTACTTGCACCCTAAAGTAATTGCAGTTTTTCATTTGCTATACAACCAGATGATACGACAAATCGCTAACCTTAAACACCCAGTCGTTTGTAAAAGTTAAAGGCGGTATAGTACTATAGTAACAGAGCAAGTGCAGAATCACTGACCCGGAACTGATAGCTTGAAAGTATTTAGTGCGGGGGGCCTTGAAAGTACGGGGCCCGTAGCTGCTACATATGTAGCTACTACTACACGTGTAGCTACTACATATGTAGCTACTACTACACGTGTAGCTACTACTACACGTGTAGCGACTTTTGCTCCTGGGATAATCGGGCACTGGACAGAATTCATCCCAATCGGTCAACCCGTGGCACCTGCCAGGGTCTGCGTCGACGGGGACCGCCCGGCTTTCCCGGCATCTTGTCGCTAAAAAAATTATTCCTTTCGTCGCTGCATCTTGTCGCTTGCTGGGCAGTGAATGGGGTGGGGGGAGGTCACTTGCAGAGACACAGCAGCCTCGGCTGTTGCAGACACGGGGCAGGACACGGAGACACGGACAACGCAGACAGAGACACGGAGAGCGGGGACAGAGACACGGAGAGTGGGGACAGAGACACGGACAGCGGGGACAGAGACACGGCCGAGCGTAGCGTCAGTCGCGTGTTGTCTGTCTCCGCACCCGGCAGGGCGCGTCCACGGTGAGCCGAGTGGGGCCCGCGGACACGGCGCCGACTCGAGGCCGACTCGCAGTCTCCGTGGAGACGTCGTCATAGGGAGAGAGACACACACAGAGACACACAAAGTGACACACACAGACACAGTGACACACACAGACACAGTGACAGACACAGTGACATACACAGACACAGTGACACACACAGACACAGTGACACACACAGACACAGTGACACACACATACACACACAGACACGCACAGTGACATACAGACACACAGTGACACACACAGACACGTACAGAGACACACAGTGACACACAGAGACACACACAGTGACACACACAGACACAGTGACGCACAGTGACACACCCAGTGACATACACAGTGACACACACAGACACAGTGACAGACACAGAGACACACACAGACACAGAGACACACACAGACACAGAGACACACAGTGACACACCCAGTGACACACACAGACACAGAGACACACAGTGACACACAGACACAGGGACACACACAGACACGGTGACACACAGACACAGTGACACAGTGACACACAGATACACACAGTGACACAGTGACACACACAGTGACACACACAGACACACACAGTGACACACAGAGACACACACAGTGACACACAGTGACACACACAAACACAGTGACACACACAGACACAGTGACACAGAGACACACACAGTGACACACACAAACACAGTGACACACACAGACACAGTGACACACAGTGATACACACAGACACAGTGACACAGAGACACACACAGAGACACACACAGTGACACACACAAACACAGTGACACACACAGACACAGTGACACACAGTGATACACACAGACACAGTGACACAGAGACACACAGAGACACACACAGTGACACACACAAACACAGTGACACACACAGACACAGTGACAGACACAGAGACACACACAGACACAGAGACACACAGTGACACACCCAGTTACAGACACAGTGACACACACAGACACAGAGACACACAGTGACACACAGACACACACAGTGACACACACAGTGACACACACAGTGACACACACAGACACACACAGTGACACACACAGACACAGAGACACACACAGTGACACACACAGTGACACAGACACAGTGACACACACAGACACAGAGACACACAGTGACACACAGTGACACACAGACACAGGGACACACACAGACACGGTGACACATACAGACACAGGGACACACACAGTGACACACACAGACACACACAGTGACACACAGACATGTACAGGGACACACACAGTGACACACACAGACACAGTGACAGACACAGTGACACAAAGTGACACACACAGACAGTGACACACACAGTGACACACAGACACAGTGACACACACAGACACAGTGACACACAGTGACACACACAGACACGTACAGAGACAGAGTAACACACAGACACGTACAGAGACACATACAAACACAGTACACACACAAGACACGTACAGAGACACATAGACAGACACACAAAGCAATACACACCGAGTAGTACACAGATGTAACACACATGAGACAGACACAAACACAGGGCAATACACACAGATGTAACAGTATTACACACAGACACGTACAGAGACACACGAAGAGACAAACACAGTAACACAGACATGTACACAGACACACAGAGACACAAACAGCAATACACACAAATGTAACACAGAGTGATACAAACAGAATATTACACACAGACACGTACAGAGACATCAACACACTAATGCTGATGTAACACAGACACGTACAGAGACACAGAGAGAGACAAACACAGTAATACACACAGACACGTACAGCGTTATAGACATAGTAATACACAGACACGTACAGAGACACGTAGAGATACAAACACAGAGTAAATACACAGATGTAGCACATAGACACGCACAGAGACGCAGATATATAGACACGGATGTAATACACAGGCGCGTTACAGAGACACACAGAGACAAACAGATGTAATACACGTAGAGAGAGACACACAGAGACACGTAACGCACAGACATACAGAGAGACACGTATACATTCTTACAGAGGGACAGAGTCGGAGCGAGACGCAGAGAGTTGGATTTGGTGGGAGGTAAGAGAGAGAAAGACACATACAGAAACCGACTTAGATACAGAGATTGTAGATAGACGGAGCAACCGGGACAAAGAGACAGCACAGAGAGAGACACAACACGGAGAGACAGCACAGAGAGAGACACAACACGGAGAGACAGCACAGAGAGAGACACGGAGCTGCGCGTGGATTGACTCTGGAGGTGTCGTTCTTGGCCACAGCGAACGCAGCTGATGCAGCAGGAGCGCTGCTAGAGAGACATACATAGACACAGACACAAAGACAAGATACATATAGACACAAAGACAAGATATATTTAGACACAGACACATACATAGACACATAGATAGATAGAGACAGACAGATAGACATATAGACAGATATAGAGACACAGATATACAGAAACACATACATAGAGAGCTATATGGGAATATAGACACAGACACATAGATCTGTATGGGAATATCGACACAGACATCGATACAGAGACGCAGATGCCGTTCTAGATATGGAGACAAGAGACGAGCACACATAGCAATAGATACAGGTACAGAGAGATACAGGTACAGAGAGACACAGACACAGAGAGACATAGACACAGAGAGAGACAGACACAGAGAGACACAGAGAGACATAGACACAGAGAGACAGACACAGAGAGACAGACACACACACATGCAGAGACACATAGACATTCATTCTCCAATTGCACCGCCTAATCGGCATACTCGATCGCATAATTAACATATTCCAACGCGTAATTAGCATCGGCTGTTTGTCTATTTGTTTGTTTCTCCCTTGTGATGGGACTTTGTAGGACGAACGCTGAGATTTATAACGACGCGGGGTGACCAATAAGGTCTGAATTGGTCTGTAATAAGTTTGCACTGATAAGGGGTTGACAGGTTTGCTTTGGTGCAGTGATAACTGTTTAATTTAAACTTATATTCAGGCCTTCAGGGTACCATATCAAGGTTTTAGTCGATCTTTTGGTATATACCATCTGGTTGAAAAACTCCAATGCTTATAAATGAAAAGTTGGTCATACGTAGTGCGGTAAACTTTTAACATTCAGCTGCTATCGGTGAGTCGACAAATATTTTTTTTTATTGTATTGTTAAGTCTTGTGCAACATTAAATATAGCACAACGGTGATAATTATTGAAAGGATTCATTCATCAAGAAAGTGCAATTAAAAAGTCAAGTTCTTGAAGGAATTGAATGGTGACTCGTACTGCATAATTTAAACTATCAAACTATATCATGGGACCTCCTTTGGTGTGGACCAATCAGTTTCAAGGACAATGCATATATTATACTGGTAGGAACCTCCTGGTTACACCAGCCCACAGGAGATTATTGTGTCCGTCCGTCGTGCATCCAAAAATGGGAGAGGTGTGGCTGGGTGGAGAGGGGAGGGTGGGGAGGGGCTGGGTGGGGAGGGGAGGGTGGGGAGGGGCTGGGTGGGGAGGGTGGGGAGGGGCTGGGTGGGGCTGGGTGGGGAGGGGCTGGTCACCCCGTGGTGCCCTTATAAAACTCAACGTTTAACCTACTCACGCCGGCTTGTGCCCGCCTTCACAGTCGGGCATATTTACGGAGTACACCACGCCGCCGTTGACCCTGGCCATTGACCGAGCAACCCAACGTTCCTACCAGCTCCCTCCGCAGGAATGTGTTCAGAGTATGTTTTTTGTTTGCATTCTCACCACAAGCATTGTGGTTAATGCAGACGTGATTCCTTGTAAAAGGTTTCAGTTTGGTGTATATATTTTTGGTTCTTTCGGTAAAGTCACGTAGAAGGGAAATAATAAAATAAAAATAAAACAATAATCATCAGGTGTGAAAACCACAGCAAATTTGATTGCTGTGGTTTTCACACCTGATGATTGCTTGTGTTGCAATCGAAACGTCGTGATAATTTTATTGTTTTACTTTGATTATTTTATTATTTCCCTTCTACGTGACTTTACCGAAAGAACCAAGAAGATGAATCCCTGCAGTCACGAAAGCTTTAAATCGAAATCTTAACACCTGTTTTGTTGCCAGACAAAAAGGGGAAAAACCCTATGTCAAACTATAATTATATCAAACTATAATTATATCAACCTATAATTTTTACTTTACCAGGTAAGGCCCCCACGCTGAGCTACGTAGCTCTTTTTCAGAAGCGACCTGGCCGTTACAAATGATAGCTCAACTAAGTGGCTTATCATCATCGTGTGGAAATGTATCGCAGCCAAATACTCTAAACGCGTGACGTTGATTCTAAATGTGAAGTGGAAAACCGGAAGGACCCGGAGTTAGATCCATGCGTCCACGGAGAGAGAGAAACCGCAAACTCTAAAGGGGCCATCCATAAATGACGTCACGCGATTTTGGAAGATTTTTTTACCCCCCTCTTCCCCATCGTCACACGGCGTCACAAAAAGTCAGACCCCCCCTCAAATATGACGTCACAAAAAAATAATGCTTCAAATCGCTTTAAACTATTGTCATTGTAGTGCGTATTTAATGTGGCGCTGCACTCTGATGTTGTAGGAGAAAACATTTATAAAAAAAAGTCTAATTAAGTAGAACGTTTTGTCTATATTTATTTAAAGTTGCGCATTTTGATGTGACGTCACATTTCTCAACCCCCCCCCCCTCGTCACACATCGTCACAAATGTCTGACCCCCCCCCCTAGGTGCGTGACGTCATTTATGGACGGCCCCAAATATCACAGCAGGCGTCAGGGTCGAGATCGAACCCACGCATGTTGCGTTAACTGTTGTGATCGCTGGCGCGCGTGTTTGTGTTCATTCTGCGTGGCGCTTGCTAATAATGTTCACGCATGTGCTGCTTGTATTGCGTATCGTGTTTTTTTTTCTAAATGCTTATTAGGGATTTCATGATGTTATGCTTACTAATGTTTGTGTACGAATACTCTATTGTTGTCCTAGTGGGGAGCGGTGGTGTAGCGGTTGGTGCGCTACGAACCCAGCAGTCCGAGTTCGATTCCCACTCACGGCCAACACCAGTGACGATTATCTGAACCGGCCCTGGGCCTCCCTTAGGTCGACTCAGCCTCAAATGAGTACCTGGTGCGATGTGTAAATATCGCCATTAGGAAGACAAAGGCGGCCGGGTGTGGTGCTAGCCACCCACCCCCTCGTGTGCCATGCTGGCCTTCATAGGTGCTTGCTAACAGCACTTGCCCCAACAGTCTGTTAAGGCTACACAGGGAATCCTTGTCCTTGTTATATATATGATATATATTATATATATGTGTATCTGTGTTTTTGACGTACAATATGCAGTCCCAGCTACGGCAAAAATCTTTGACGAGTGGTATCTGAACCGGTCTCGGACCTCCTTTAGGTTTGCTCTGCCTTAAATGAGTCCCTGGTTGTGGTATGTAAACAGCAGCACCAGAGAGGCAAAGGTGGTCCTGGCCACGCCGCCCTCTCGTGTGCCGTGCCGGCCTTCACAAGTTAAATATACATACAGGGGATCCTCACTAACAGCACCTGCGTTTGCCCCAACAGTCTGTCTTTGTGTATGTACAAAAGTGCACATGCGTATGTGTGTCTGCACATGTCTAATTGGATGTAAACAAAACTTACTTTCGTCCTCAGATGTCTTCGTACGTGGGATTTCCGATCATCAAACAAGAGGATGAAGAAAGTGCAAACTGTGGAGCGTGTCCTGACTTCACGATGAAATGCGAAGATGTCGGTGAGTTCCGTTTGAACCACGACGATTGACAATCAAACATGGATCGTCGTCGCCGGCAGCAGCAAGTTGACACGGAGGCATTTGACTATCGTTGTTGCGATTATTTTATTTACCGTGCGCATCGAGCTTAGCCTGACATGACATGAGCCACACAGCCCCATTTCAAAATAATAATAATTTACAATAGACTCCTGATTATCCCAGGTGCGCGGTTAATCTGCAAATCGGATTAACCGCGCACCTGAGATTTTGACATAAATGAACAACTCATGGGTTTTTCCATTAGCCCAAATGAATAATCTAATCGCAGTGAAACATTGTTCTTCTTGGAAATGTTTATTACAAGTCACACGGTGCTTAAACCATGCAATCATGCGCTTTGGTTAATCCCCTAATCAATTTAATTTACTTAAACATATTTGATACCTATATTAGTGGTTTTTGGCATAGATATCCATGGAAAATGTATATTTTTGGATTATCAGCGATTTTTAATAATAATCCACAGCCGTCCTCCCCGTCATTAGCAAGTATGATCGAGAATCTACCGTATAAGGCGCAAATTTCATCCAGGGATCTCAGAGCACCGTGCACGAAGTTAGGAAATATAAATACTGCAAAGTCCAGAGTCCACTGGTCATACATGGGGAAGTGAAGACCTGCAAGCGAAACAGGTGCGAGTCTTTAGAGAAGAGCTAAGCAGGGTGAGTGAGCTCGCCCATCGAAGCACGCAACGGATAGGCGTGCGTCTGGTCAGAGGATCCATTGAAACTATAAAAAAACTATTCTTGATTTGAAGTTTTCATGACTGCAGGGATCCATACTCATTGGTTCTTTTGGTAAAGTCACGTAGGTATAAAAAAAATTAAATCACGACGTTTCGATTGCAACACAAGCAATCATCATCAGATGGGAAAACCACAGCAATAATTTTTTTTGCTCTCTCCCACTTCAGCAAGACATTTTGTTGCTGTGGTTTTCCCACCTGATGATGATTGCTTGTGTTGCAATTGAAACGTCGCAATTTAATTTATTTTATACCTACATGACTTTACCAAAAGAACCAAAGAGTATAAAAAACTATTTTTTATTTGACCAGGTAAAAAGACCCCACTGAGCTGCTGGCTATCACAAATGATAGCCCAATGATTGTGGCTTGTCACATCACGTGGACATTTATAGCAGCCAAATACTCTTAAACGCAACGTTGATTCTAAATGTGTGGAGGGAAAATCCACATGACCATGGAGAGAAAACGCAAACTCCAAATATACAGAAGGCTTCAGGGTCGGGATCGAACCCACGACCTCTTGTATACCAGGTGAGGCAATTAACATCTTGTCATTGTGGTGCCTCAACAGGCTTCCTGATGTACTGTAGAATATTTCGTAAATGCTGAGGATGAGGTGAGTGGTGAATGTCAAGAAAAATATCACGACGTTTCGATCGCAACACAAGCAATCGTCTCTCACCTGAAGACGATTGCTTGCGTTGCGATCGAAACGCCGTGATATTTTTATTATTTTTCTAGCTACGTGGCTTTACCAAAAGACCCATAGAATAGGTGTTAAGATGTTAAAACACCAAACTGAAACATTTTACAAGGAATCATGTCTGCATTAACCACAATACTTGTGATCAGAATGCAAACAAAAAACGTACTCTGATAATATATGCATTGTCTTTGAAACTGATTGGTCCACACCAGAGACAGATTTATTTTGAGCCTAGTTTCAAAGCGGTGTTAGACCAGAGGATGCCAAAAGGCGTACAGCACAAAGACAAGCATAATCAGAATAATGAGGGCTCGGGGTGAGCATCAGTTTCAAAGACAATGCATATATTATCAGAGTCCGTTTTTTGTTTGCATTCTGACCACAAATATTGTGGTTAATGCAGACATGATTCTTTGCAAAAGGTTTCAGTTTGGTGTTTTAACATCTTAAAACCTGTTTTGTTGCCAGACAAAAGGGGAAAACCTATTCTCATATTTTGGTACTGGCAAAGGAGGTCCCATGATGTAGATGCTCACCCCGAGCCCTCATTAACCTTACTAATTGGCTGTGTGGGGGTGGTGCGGGTTTAACGACACATTTATATTTCCACGATCTAACCCAAAAAAAAACTCTTATGGACAAGCCTCTGAGAGTCCCAACTATGGCAGCGCAATGAGAATTGTAATATTGGTGGGAGAAACATCCCTCTCCGGCCTGTGTTGCGTAATGTAATAAATCTGCCATCCGTCAAACTTACCGTGGTGCATTTTCTGAATTGCAGCTCTAGATGTCAATTCTGTTAAGGCTGAAGAAGCCACCGAGAATCCAGAGGGGATGGCGCATTGCCACGACGGACGTCCGGCCAATCCAAAACAGAACATGACCACCAAGGTGGAGGTGTGGGCGGACGACATAAAAAAGTTCATCCAGGTGGAGTTGTTGGAGGAGGACACTGGTCAAGGTGAGTCTCCGTTTCGAGCGCATCACAGACAAACGTGCGACGTCGTCTTGTGTTACCGTCGATGGTCGCACTCGTTACACGAAAAGTGCTCGCCACAAATGAACCACAGCACCTCGCTGATCTCGTCAAGGAGCATGAGCCATCACGCCAACTCCGGTCATCCTCACAGCAGCGGCTTTTGGCTGGCCATCGAACAGAGGTGGTCGCCGCATCGCACACTTTCAGATGTGCTTCTGCGGCCGTCTGGAATGCTCTTCCGATATTAGGAAGCCGGTGGCGCTATGCACTTTTAAATAATCATCTAGATATTAAAACTCATTTCTTTAGAGCTGTTTTTTGTGTTTAGTTTGTTGTCCGTCCCCCCGCACCTCCGATTAGCACGGTTGGCTATGTACGGTGCGAAAGAAGTTCAGTATGTATACAGACACCTGGCTTCTGTTTAAAACACCAGTAGAGCCAACCGATCTTCGAGAGGAAAAAAAATCACAGTTCATTTGTGGTCATATCAGGCTGCTTACAAGAGGTAAACTAATAGATACTCGTGAATAAAGAATGAGTTTCCCACAGGCAGTCATCCAAACGTTTACAATATTTATAGCTGGGATACGATAGATTGCAACGATATGAGAAACATTGTAGTTAAAGCCAAACATAGCGCGTGTGTCGGGGTACATGGATTGTGAGGAGCGGTGGCACAGCGGTTAACGTGCTGTACTATTAACCAGTGGCGGCTCCTGCAAAATCTCTCAGGGGGGGCAAATGTCTGGATGATTGATAAGGATAAGGTCCACCCATGCAATTGTAGAGGTGTAATTGTGCATGGCCACAGATGTAGAGGTGTAATTGTGCATGGCCACGGATGGCTAACAAACACAAGGGGCGGGGTTACGGCCGTACACAGGGGAGGTGCTCGCACCGACGTCCGCACCTGCATCCCCCACGGGCCCCTCCCGGGGGCCGAGTCCTATAAAAGGTGGTGAGCCGGAGGGCTCGAGGTCGGGATCAGCTTTAACCAGAGAAGACGGAAGACCCGCTAGAATAGGCCCCAGAGCTCCCCTGGCTCGCTGTCCTTGTAAGGGCCGACCAGGGCAAGCCGGTGGCGTGGCCCCGAGAGCCCAGACTGACGAGCCGGTCTGGAGACTCAGGGTGCCGGGATCCCAGCTTGACCAGGGCTGGGATAGGTAGCCTCCCCTAGCTCCGTAGTGGAGGACTTGGGCGTAGGTTAGCGGGGTTAGCTGTTGTGTATCCCTGTAGCCAAGTGAAGGGGACGATACCCCCGTAAGTACTGTGTGCACAAGTTGGTGTAATAAATAAGTGTGCCTCCGACCCTGTCGTCAAGCCTCCTACATACTTACTACATCTGGCGTCAGAAGTAAAACGTTCAACGATGGACACACGAGGGACGACACGTACCAGGGAGTCGGAGATAGAAGACGCCACGGCCGAATCACCACCAGAGATGGCCGGGGTCGGATCGGAGCAGCCGGGGCCGAGTACGCCCGCGCTGCTACGACAGGAAGGGGGGGATGCGTCGGCCGAAGGACTCCGGCTGGCTCACTCCCACCTGGCGGAGCTGCTCTACGCCGCGGCCGCCGCGTTGGAGGAGATCACGCGGCTGGGGGCTGGAGGGGCTGCGCGGGACGACGACAGCAGCCGACGCGCGGCGACGTTTCCCGCCACCCCGACGCGGCTCGCGGTTAAATTTCCCGCCATCACTACAGTGCGAGCAGAGGGCGGGGCCGGCCCGCGTCAGGTGACTGCTGAGGGCCAAGCACAAGCCGTGACGTCATCAGCATCAGCCAGCGCGTCAACATCAGAGCGACCGGCGATGCCATGCTCGCAGCCCGCCCACACTGTATCATCTGCTGGGAGCGACGGAGAGCGATCTGCAGCCACGGACGTCGCGTTACAGCAGCGACTGCCGCCTCTCAAAGAATTCGTGGGCGCGGACGGAGACTGGGGCGGCTTCAAAAGGCGGTTCATCGCTCATCAAGAGATGGCGAACTGGACGGACGCCGAGGCACTACGCGCGCTGCCGGCGATGCTGGACAACGATGCCCTGGCTACCCTCACCTCGGCGCCTAAGGAAAAGCGCGCCACACTGCACCTGGCGCTGCAGCTGCTGTCAGCCGTCTATGGGCCGCCTTCGGACTGCAGGCAGCTGTTCCACGATCGGCATCGGGGCGCCAACGAATCGCCCCTGGCCTTCCGGACGGCTCTCCTGGCCCTGGCGAAGGCAGCTTTTCCAGGGATGGACGAGGAGGGAGTGGACGCCATGGTGGCTGAGAAGCTGCTGCTACTCGCTGATGAGCTGGACGTCAACGTCTTGGCTCAAGACGACGCAGAGATGTCGTCCCTGCTGGTCGCGCGCCACATCCACGGGGGCTTGCGGTCCCTGCGTCGCAAGGCGGCCAAGGGGGTGGCCGGCCATGCCATGGCGGCCACCGCCCTCCCATCGGAGGAGGTCTGCGGGGTGGAGCGGCGGGGGGAATGGAGATCGGCGGCACCACAGGCTCGGAATGGACCGAGCCGCCAGGAGCAGCCCAGGCCATCTGGGGCGCTCACACGCTGCTACAACTGTGGCCTGCAAGGCCACGTTGTGTCAGGATGCCGGGCTCCCCGTCAGCGCGGGGCTACACCTCGTCAGGACGCCACGCCGTCTCCACCCAAGCTCCAGCAGAGAAATACGGCGAGTCGTGGCACCTCACACGTTTGGCCCATGCACACATCCGACACACACTCACGCGCTCAACTAAACAGGGCTCGAAAATCGCCGCCCGTTGCGCGCGATTGTTCTGAAATGCGGCGAGCGCTCCAACCGGGTCAGTGGTCGGAGCTCGCCCATCGTGTCGTTGCTGCATCGGCGGGATCATCGGTTGTGGTCGGTCATATTGATGATGTAGAGGTGCGGATTTTAATTGACACAGGGGCATTGGCGACCATTATATCTGATTTGATTTATAACATCCTTCCCGTTCAAAGTCGTCCCTTGCTCCCTGTTGACGTGCCATACTATGCTGCTAACGGGGGCTCGCTGGGCATTATTGGGCAAATCCGCGCCAAAATTTGCATTGGAGACATTAAATTATCCGGGCCTGTTTTGGTTTCCTCCTCACTCGCGGTTCCGTGCCTGTTGGGGACGGATTTCTTGGCCAAAATGCCCATCCGTATCTTGATTGACCAGGGGTGCATCGAGCTCCCATCGGGCCGACGTGTTACATTTTTGTCTTCCCCCACCACGGAGCGTCGGGCGTTTGCCACCGTGCAGGCGCTCGTGACAAAAACTGTGCGCGTACCCCCGGGGGCTCAGATGCTCGTCCCTCTTAGGTTGCGTCGGCCGTTTGCTGAAGGGGTTGCGGATCGGGGGGTCTTGTTGGGACCATCTCGAGCCGGGGTCAATGGACCCGATTTGCTAGCGGCTCAGACCATGGTGAAAGGGGATGGGGACCCCTTCATTGCAGTCCTTAATGTAGGATCGCGAACGGCCGTGGTTCCTCAAGGGACCGTGCTTGCACACGCAACGCCGGTACCCTATGAGGAACCACTCGTGGGTCAGGTAACCACCGATCCTCCGTCGCGACCGCATTCGGACTGTGATGACGGATGGCTGGATGCGCTTTGCGCGGGATCAGTGGACCTATCCGACTCGCAGCGCGCGCAGCTGCGAGTTCTCCTGAACGAATTTGCTGACGTTTTTAGTCAACACAAATTTGATATTGGTTGTACTAAATTGCTGCGACACCATATTGACACGGGTGACAGCGCGCCAATCCGCCAAAATCCCTTTCGGTTGAGTCCCGCCGAAAAGGATCATGTCAAATCGGCTGTTGATGACATACTAGCCGCCGATATCATTTCCCCTTCCAACAGCCCGTGGGGCGCGCCGATCGTTTTGGTGAAAAAACACGACGGCTCACTGCGGTTTTGTGTCGACTTTCGGCGATTGAACAAAATTTCTGTGGCAGATGCGTACCCGCTTCCTCGAATGGATGAGTCGCTCGATGCCTTGGCGGGGGCGCGATTCTTTTCCACCCTCGATTTACTATCTGGATTCTGGCAGCTTCCTCTGGATGACGAATCAAAACCTAAGACTGCTTTTCGTACACCGCAAGGTCTCTTCCAATTTAACCGCTTGCCGATGGGCTTACATTCTGCGCCGGCAACTTTTCAGCGGTTAATGGAACTGGTCTTGGCAGGCTTGCAATGGGATTCGTGTTTAATTTACTTGGACTATGTCATCGTCTTTAGCAAATCCTTCGAGGAACACCTCCAGAGGTTGCGTGCTGTTTTTCTCAAAATGCGGGCTGCCAATTTAAAATTTAAACCGCAGAAGTGCCATTTGCTCCGCGAATCGGTGCGGTATTTGGGTCACATTGTTGGGCGCTCGGGGATATCCACTGATCCCGCCAAAACGGAATGCGTCAGCTCCTGGCCGACTCCCACCTCGGTGGGAGAGGTCAGGAGTTTCATTGGGTTCGCGTCGTACTATCGACGGTTTGTGGCTGACTTCGCTACGATCGCGAAACCATTGCATGCCTTGACGTCCAAGGGAGTCAGGTTTCATTGGGGGCCGGAGGAGGAGGCTGCTTTTCGCGCCCTCCGGAATGCCCTGGTGGGGGCTCCGCCGTTGAATTACCCCGATTTCTCACAACCCTTCTTGCTCGATACAGATGCAAGTAACACGGGCATCGGGGGCGTGCTGTCCCAGCTCATTGGGGGCGTAGAGCATGTGGTGGCTTACGGTAGTCGGGTACTGTCTCCAGCGGAACAACGGTACTGCGTTACCCGTCGGGAATTATTGGCAATTGTTTATTTCATTCAGCAGTACCGCCCGTATCTGTACGGTCGGCGTTTCACCGTCCGCACAGATCATGCGGCCCTACAGTATGCTCTGCGGGTTCAACAACCATCGGGCCAGTTGTCTCGATGGTTGGAGATTCTCCAAGACTACGACTTTGTCACCACATATCGTAAGGGCGTCCGCCACACGAACGCTGACGCCCTGTCGCGGTTGCCACCCACTTCGGAGTGCGCTTGCCTCTTGGGTTCGGGGCGTTGTAGGCCCCCGAACGTCACCACCGATTCGGTCCTCGTGGCCGCCGCCGATGCGCCTTCGGCTTCGGGTCCTATCGAGCAAGAAGGGAGGGATTCGTTGCTGGGGTTGTCGGTCGCGGAATGGGGACGCCTCCAAATGGAGGACACCTCCCTCCTCGCTCTGCGCCGTTGCGCCGGGGGGGTTGGTCAGGGGGTGGCGAACGTTGACTCATGGGGGTTGTTCCAGGGTCTTTTAATGCACTGGGACGGAAAAACCCGCCGCCAGCGGCTCGTGGTGCCTGCAGCATTAAGGGGTAAGGCGGTATGGGCTGTTCATGAGCGGCTTCTGCACTTGGGGGTTCACAAGACCTTTGCCACGCTCCAGCTCGATTTCTTCTGGCCGGGCATGGCAAAGGACGTGGGGGATCTCCTGGGGTCGTGCACGCAATGCGCGCGGCAGAAGCCACCAGCTAGGGGGTCCAACCCTCCACTGCAGTCCATAAAGGTTTCCCGGGTTAACGAGCTCGTTGCTCTAGACATACTCGGGCCATTTCCCGCTACACCCAGGGGGAATAGGTATTTATTGACAGGGGTCGAATACTTCACGAGATGGCCTATGGCCTGGCCCCTGGCCAACCAGTCGGCAGCAGACATCGCGGAGGCCTTTGTCCAGGGCTATGTCCTCGACAAGGGTGCTCCGGAACGGCTGCTTACTGACCAGGGTAAGAATTTTTCGGGAAAACTCCTCCGCGAGGTGTGCGACCTCTTGGGTACGGAGAAAATTCGGACCTCCCCGTATCACCCACAAACTGACGGGATGGTGGAACGGCTGCATCGGACCATCACGTCTATGCTGTCCCAGCAGGTGTCGGAATCCCAGACAGATTGGGACCTTCGCATAGCCGGTGTGTTGCAGGCCTACAGGATGGCTCCCCATGCGGCCACCGGATTTTCCCCTTTCTTTTTAATGTATGGCCGCGAGGCTAACCCCCCTGTGACGACCCAGCTGAAGCTCTCGGCGCCTCAGGCGAAGTCTACCTTGTCCGAACACGTTAAATTTAACATCAGCAAATTATCTGAGGCGCGGGAAGCGGCCGTGCAAAATTCTGAACTCCGCCAGAGGGCGAACGAGAGGCTTCGGCTGGGGCGGGTACATGTGTTCAAATGGAAACCAGGGGACAGGGCATGGTTGCACTGTCCCCAGGTGCCGCTGGCAACCTCGTCAAAGTTGGTACGGCCGTGGCGGGGGCCAGTGGAGGTTGTACAGGTCTTGCGGCCGCAATGTGTTCGCGTCAAATGGGGGAGGCGTCGGTGGTACGTGCACCCCTCAAGGTTGAAACCGTTCATCGCGCCGCCCCGTGGTTCACACACACACACGCATGGCCAAACGTGTGAGGGTTCCGCCGACTCCCCGACGTCGCTGCTCTCGCCTAACCTGACATCAACTGTTCCGTCTCCAGGTGCAACAGGAGTGACGGGTCCACGCCCGCCAACCCCTCCCAGAGGGGTCGGGGGTCACTCGGCAGCGACGCCAGACTCTCTTGCACCCGGACCGTCAACAACCGCCACTGAGCGTGCCGGGACGGGCCCTTGTGACGGGCCCGCCGCGAGAACGCGCGCCAAAACGCGCAGACTATTGTGAGGTCGGCCGTTGGGGGGCCTTGCGGACAGTGGGGGGGGAGGCGTCCGGAGTGCGTGTATATATGTTGGTTTTGGGGAATGGGGTATTTATTCGGGGGGGTGCGTCGGGTTATTTTTTTTCTCTTCCTGTTGTTGTTCTTGTTATGGTTCTCTTTGTTCTTGTTAAAATTACGCGAGGCACACACACGGTTTTCGGGAGGGATGCACCTTTATTCTGATTTTTTTGCAGCCGGGGACGGCTGCGAGCTGTACTGGGGGGGGTGATGTAGAGGTGTAATTGTGCATGGCCACGGATGTAGAGGTGTAATTGTGCATGGCCACGGATGGCTAACAAACACAAGGGGCGGGGTTACGGCCGTACACAGGGGAGGTGCTCGCACCGACGTCCGCACCTGCATCCCCCACGGGCCCCTCCCGGGGGCCGAGTCCTATAAAAGGTGGTGAGCCGGAGGGCTCGAGGTCGGGATCAGCTTTAACCAGAGAAGACGGAAGACCCGCTAGAATAGGCCCCAGAGCTCCCCTGGCTCGCTGTCCTTGTAAGGGCCGACCAGGGCAAGCCGGTGGCGTGGCCCCGAGAGCCCAGACTGACGAGCCGGTCTGGAGACTCAGGGTGCCGGGATCCCAGCTTGACCAGGGCTGGGATAGGTAGCCTCCCCTAGCTCCGTAGTGGAGGACTTGGGCGTAGGTTAGCGGGGTTAGCTGTTGTGTATCCCTGTAGCCAAGTGAAGGGGACGATACCCCCGTAAGTACTGTGTGTGCACAAGTTGGTGTAATAAATAAGTGTGCCTCCGACCCTGTCGTCAAGCCTCCTACATACTTACTACACAATGAATAAATTAACAGCTAAAGCATGTAAAGGCAACTTCACTTCTTTAATATTAATGAAAAATAAAGTGACTCTTACAATACATCTTGTTTGTTTATATACTCACTATTAAAACAAACCACTCAAGTTTATTTTATTAAAGATTCCAGTAGGTGGTGATAAATTATATTGTTGGATGAAACGTGCTTACGTATGTTGACGTTAGCACGTATGATGACGTAAGCACGTTAGTGCATGCCCTCCCGGAAGCCATAGAGAATGCATTGCAGCGCCCCCGTTCGAAAAAAAACATCTTTGAATGTAAGTCTATGGGGCCACTCGGGGCGATTCTCAGCCGTAGTGAAATCGCCCAAAAAGAGGCGGTACTCCACAGAACGTGACATGACGCTGATTGGACTATATCCAGAGGCTGACAGTGACGGCTAGCGTGACTCTGTGGTTGAATGACATTGGTGGTGCGTCGCCCAATCGCCCTAATGAAGAAACCGCCCCTGCTATTAACCCGGCGACGCGGGTTCAACGCCCGCCAACGGCCTCCAATACCGATGACAATTGTCTTTACTCGTTCCTGGGCCTCCCACTCGGTCGACCCAACCTCAAACGAGTGCCCGGTGGGGTGGTTAGTAAACATCGCCACTCGGGGAGATAAAGGCGTCCGGGCGTGGTGCTGGCCACCCCATGCCGCTCGTGTGCCGAGGCGGCCTTCATAGGTGGCACTGCTACTCGCTAACGCAGCACTTCGGACATGGATAACACTGCCAGTATTACAAGCGACCCGCGTTAGAGTTGGAAAGCACACTCGGGGGAATTAGCTGAACTGCACAAATACCGACTCCTCTTTCCCCAAGCAATATGAAGTTAACGTTAGATTTTTTTGGGGTGGGGGGTGCCATAACTTGACCCCGCAGTATGTACAGTACAGACTGTTCTCCTATAACGCCGCGTGTTTTCATAACAAGTTGTTGCGACACGGATGCGATTTGGATATAACGCGATCGCGTGAACAGAACTACTTCGTGCAAGTAAGAATAAGCGATTGTAATACGACTGAATCGGCTTAGCATCGCACAAGGTGAGATGCTGCTGGATGCTTCGAGATGCTACCCACATACCTCAGTCTTTGTTCGGCCTGCGTACGCATCTCACACCTTATCACGGACTATGCTTTAACCCCTATATTATTTATTATAATTCAATTTTTCCATAGCGCGGTGTTCTTCAGGAACGCAACTCTAGCTGAGTCTGCGGGGTAATGAGCCGTGTTTTATATCAGGGCTTTTTAATTGTAGTAATTTTTTTTAAGTCATCTGTGACCGGGTTTGAAATGACGAGTGATCAGGCTCAGTAAATATGGCACTATATGTTGATTTGAAGCTTTTGTGACTGCAGGTATCCATACTCTTTGGTTCTTTCGGTAAAGTCACGTAGTTAGAAATACAATTTCTAATAAAACATATTTTATTTGTAACTATATGGTTTACTAATGTTTCTCAGACAATCAATTTATACCTCGTAAAATATGTGCACATACATCGGCATTTGGGGTGCCTGTAACAAAAGAGTGAGAATTAAACTGGCGGTGAAAGGAACACACAATGTATCTGGGGCTCTTTTTGCAATTTTTTCATCATCTTGATACTAGATGAAAAAAAAGAATACAGGTGTTAAGATGTTAAAACATTTATTTGTGCTATTCAGGTTGGCTATCTGAACAGCATCTGTGGTGGTTTAAATCTACTTGCTGTATGTAAATAACTCGTGATTAATTAACTGTTAAACACCCAAGCCTCAAATAACTCAACTAATTCAACGTTGATCATTCTTAGCGGTGGTAAGGGCTGATATATGTAACTGGCCATGTTTATTGATGTTTTATAACTCCCATGATTGAAAGACCGTAATACATTTTTTATTATAAATGTGCAGTTCTGGATCCAAATACTTGTCAAGTTGGAGAAGCCAGTGAGAGACCAGAGGGCACGGACGATTCCCATGGATACGTTGACAATTTACACCGAAACTTCATCAAGGTGGAGTCATCAGAGGAGGACGCTGGTGAAGGTGAGAAGATCCCCTTCGGATCACCTCGCAGTCCTTCCGCATCGCCCCTGCCCGCTTTCAGTCGTCTGTTTTTGCCCTTGCTAATTGTGTCTGTAACCCTCATCGTTCTTCTTGTGATGTGATTCCGCCTCTTCTTCATGAGGTTCTCTCTCTTCCTTCGCTCCTTTACATACTTGTGTGGAGCAGTGCAGCTCTGGAGGCAGAACTGCACTGCTACCCAGCGCGTCCGCAGGTGGCGGACAGTGGAAAGACCTTCTGTGAAGGTTGTGTGCGAAATAAGCAGGGGGAAACCCTCACGAATAAGTCGTGTACCAAACAGCTCGAGCACCAACAGGGTGTGGTCAGGAGTGCAGATGGCAATGCTTTTCCTCTTCAAAAGCCACATATACCCTTTGACGATGCTGTGACATGGCGATTATAGGTCGCCATTATAAACACATTCCTGTGGAGGGAGCTGGTAGGAACGTTGGGTTGCTCGGTCAATGGCCAGGGCAACGCAAATATGCCCGACTGAGGGCGGGCACAAGCCGGCGTGACTAGGTTAAACGTTGAGTTTTATAAGGGCACCACGGGGTGACCAGCCCCTCCCCACCCAGCCCCACCCCTCCCACCCCCCACCCTGCCCCACCCTCCCCACCCAGCCCCTCCCCACCCAGCCCCACCCCTCCCCACCCAGCCCCTCCCTGCACGACGGGCGGACGGACAGAATAATCCCCTGTTGGCTGGTGTAACCAGGAGGTTCCTACCAGTATAATCCTCCCTGCCTCCAGCCATGGGGTTAATACGTCCTCAACGGCAGAGTAGGCAGAAGATGTTGAGATCTCTTAACGGCTGTGAAGGCAGATGAAGGCTGCAGCAGAACCACATCTGCGATCGTCTTGGTCTCCTTGCCATTGGATTTATCGTCGCGTTCAGAAGCTGCTGTGTGGAAGCTGCTGTGCAACAGCTTCACAATAAAATAAATCACGCACCGGCGTCTTTCATGGAAGGAACAGCAGCTTCCAGCACATTCAATACAAGTCCTTTGGCAACCAGCTAGTGATGACGGGAGCAGGATTGTGAAGTCTGGAAGCTTCTAGTCGCAAGCTGGCATGAAGGCGGTTGCTACAAGAAGGATGTCTTACACTTGGAGGATACAGAAGTGTGTTTTGGCAGCTGTAACTGTGACTGAGCAGTCCACTTTAGGATCCACTCTGCTCACCTCACATGGGGAAGGGGCTAGAAAATGTGCCCTAAACATAGTCTGTCTCACCCCTTCCCGACTGGATAACCACCTCCAGAGGGATCACCATTGCTGCAGTGAAAACAAAAATTAAAAGCCAAAACATTTAATTTGGGACCTAGAATGTCAGGATCCTTATGGACAAGCCTAAAAACGAACGCCCAGAACGCCGCACCACAATCGTGGCCCGGGAAGTCAGATGGTACAACATTGATGTGGCTGCCCTCAGTGACACTCAGTGAACAAGGGAGGGGCAGCTCAAGGAACACGGAGGTGACTAAACACTCTTCTGGAAAAGGCAGACAGGAAGAACAACGGCGGCTGCACGGAGTTGGTTTCGCCATCAAGAAAGAACCATCGGAATCAGCGAGCGCCTCATGACTCTTCGTCTCAAACTGGTGGGGAGGCGATATTCCACTGTCATCAGCGCATATGTCCCACGCTTGATTCTGATGATGACTCCAATGAAGAATTATACGCTAACCTTGACAAGGTCGTTTATACCATTTCTGTAGGAGACAAACTTATTCGTCTCGATGATTTTAATTCCAGAGTAGGAATGGTTCTTAAGCCTCTGGAATGGAACCATCGGCAAGGAAGGAGTGGGAAAGGTCAATTCCAATGGCATCCTCGTCTTGACTAAATGCATGGAACATGACCTCATCGTCACCGACACCCTGTTCTGCCAGAAAAACAAATACAAAACATCATGGCAACATCCACGATCTAAGCATTGGCACTTGATCGATTGCATAATTATTCATGCCCAGGATCATAAAGATCTCTGCATCACCGAGGCTTTGCTAGAAGCTGATGATTGCTTAACTGATCACCAACTCATCTGCTCAATCACGTCCATTAAAACTGGCTCCCAAGCGATGGCTGCAGTGGAATAAATGCCGACGGAAGATCAACGAGAAGGTCTCAAGAACTCTATTAATACCTGTAAAGAGACACTTGGAGTCTCTACAAAGAAACATCAAGACTGGTTTGATAAGAATGATCAGGAGATCCAACAGTTGATCGATCGCAAACACAAGGTTTTTTGTGCTCGGCAAAATTACACCAATTTCAAGCAAATAGGTTGATTGACCTACAAGCGAAGGCAGCGGTCCAGAGGAGGACCCGTGATATGAAAAACAGATGGCGGGAAGACAAGGTGAAAGAGATCCAACATCTTTCCAACATCCATAATATGCGCGGCTTTTTTAGTGCCACCAGAACCGCCTATGGTCCGAGCACTCAGGGACCAACCCACATGAAGCCTAAGAATGGAGGAGATCTGATCAATGAGAGGGAAGCTGTCAACACTTGCTGGAAGGAGCATTTTGAAAGTCTCTCAACCGAGACTCGTCCGTCGATGAGTGTTTTCCGCTCCATCCCACAACACACAATCAGAAATGAGCTTGGAATCTCCCCAACCCTTGATGAAGTGAGAAAAGCTATCAAGCAGATGAAGAACAATAAGGCATCTGGAGCTGATGGAATACCTGCAGAAATGTTCAAACAAGGGGGAGAGGAGCTCATGTCATTGCTTCCAAGCGCTCATCTTGAAGATTTGGAAATACGAGGAAATCCCAAACGACCTCGGATGCCATTATTGTGACAATCTTTAAGAGATAAATCCAATTGTGGAAATTACAGGGGGATCGCCTTGCTGTCCACTGCAGGAAAGATCATTGCAAGAACTCTCCTGAACCATCTTCTGCCACTTGCTAATTAACTCCTCCCAGAATCCCAATGTGGGTTCAGGCCATCGAGAGGCAAAACTGACATGGTCTTCACTGCCCGTCAGATGCAATAAAAATGTCAGCAACAACACAAACCTCTTTACATGGCCTTCTTTGACCTCACAAAATCCCTTGATTCTGTCAACCGAGAAGCACTCTGGAGGATCCTTCAAAAATATGGATGCCCATTGAAATTTGTCACCATTATTTGGCTGCTGCATGATGGTATGTGAGAAGTGATTCTTAGAAATGGCTCCACCTCAAACCACTCTGAAGTTAACATTGGAGTCAAACAAGGCTGTATCATCGTTACAACACTCTTCTCAAAATTCATTGCCGCGATGCTACAGCTAACTACTGGCAAGCTTCGAGCATGAGTGGAGCTAAACTACAGAATGTTGTTCAACATCAACCGACTTCGATCTAAAACTAAGACCATCCGGGCAGTAGTTGTTGAGCTCCAGTATGCTGACAATGCTTTTGTGTGTGCCCAATCAGAAGCAGATCTTCAGGCAATCGTCAAAACTTTTACTGAAGCGTATGAGAAAATAGGACTGACGCTGAATATTTTAAAGAATAAAGTCCTCCATCAAACAGTTCTCAATGAGCAGTCCCCAGCTCTGGAAAACGTTGAGCATTTTCAATACCTCGGAAGCAGCTTTTGGTCAGTTGAGGAAAAGGGTGTTTGAGGAACGTGACATCAGGTCCAAAACCAAGATCATGGTTTATCAAGCAGTCATAATCTCTACCTAACTGTACGGAGCTGAGACATGGATAATATACAGGAGACATCTCATCAAAGCCATAGAGAAGTGCCATCAACGCTGCCTGCCTAAGATCCTTCAAATCAGGTGGGAAGACAGATGCACTAACATCAGCATCCTCTCGCAAACAAACACCATGAGCATTAAGGCCATGATCATTCGACATCAGCTTCGCTGAGCCGGCCACGTCATCCGTATGCCCAACTCCAGACTCCCGAAGCAAAGAGTCTTCTACACCCAGCTTAGTCGCGGTGTGCGTTCAAGAGGAGGGCAGAGAAAGCACTTCAGGGATGTCCTCAATGCCAACATGAAGAAGTCGATGGTGCACACCAACTCATGTGAGATTCTTGCCCAGGATCAACTCAGCTGGAGACACACACAGAGAGTCTATTTCAAGGATCCGAACATTTTGAAACTCAACGGCATAAACAGGAAGAGTGAAAGCAGGAACGGCGGAAATGGCATGCTGCAGCCTGACTTACTAATCCAGTCCCATCCACCATTCTTTATGCACACGTGTGGCCGAGTTGCAGCAGAATCTGTCAATCTCAGATCGGTCTCTTCAGCCATCTTTGGACCCACAGATAATCCAACTCTTCTATGGAAGACAGTCATCCTTGATTGCGAGGGATAGCCTATGATGATGACATACTTGTAGATTGTACCACGGTGGTGAGAGGGGTGCCACAGTGGCGAGATGTTAACTACCTCGCCTGGTATACAGGAAGTTGTGGGTTTGATACCGACCCTGACGCTGGTATGTTTGGAGTTGCATGTCTCCCTCTTTCCCCGTGGTCGCGTGGATTTTTCTCTGTGTCCTCCAGTTTTTCCCTCCACATTTAGAAATATGCTTTTATCGTATTTGGCTGCTGATATACGTTTCCACGTGATAGGCCACTTCATTGAGCTATTATTGGTGGCCAGGTCGCTTCTGAAAAAGACCCATTTAGCTCAGTGGGCCTTATCTGGTCAAATAGTTAAAGTATTTGAAGTAAGATCATGTCCATTAACTTTTTATTTAACCAAACAGGCAGATTGTGCATAATATGTTTCAGATACTAATATGATTTCCAAGTATTTGTGATGCTCGCATGCATTTTCTTATCTTGTCGATCATAAAAGACACCATTTAACCGAGATGTGCATGTTAAATTGATTGAGGAAGCTATGTTTGTTAAAAATTTATTTTCCTGTAACTGGTAGTATTTGTGTTTTCTTTTTATTTAATAACCCCGCAGCTGTTGAAGGAAAAGGAAGGAGACTTCTGTGCGAGGAGTGCAGGAGGGGCGGTTGCTTCGAAACGACGACGGACGAAGTGGGGCGCATCTGCCAGACCCCGCGAGCCGGCTGCATGCGGTGCGGCAAGACGCTCCACAGTGTCGCCTTGTCATCCATCGGCAGCCGGCAGAGGCCACGCGCCGACGGAAAGGCGACTGTGCCGCAGGTCGTCGATCGCGAAGCGACGAGCGCCGCTGACGGCAGGAAGCACGTGTGCGCGTATTGTGGAAAGGGGTTTTCGCGTAACTACGAGTTGCAGAAGCACGTCAGGACGCACACGGGGGAAAAACCTTACGTGTGCAAAGAGTGCGGGAGGGGGTTCGCGCGGAGTTTCGACTTAAAGACTCACTTCATAGTGCACACCGGCGAGAAGCCGCACGCGTGCAAGGAGTGCGGGGAGCGCTTTGCGCAGCGCTCTCACTTGGAGGCGCACTCCGTGTCGCACACGGGCGAGTGGCCGCACGCGTGCACGGAATGCGGGAAAGGCTTCATGCGGTCGTACGATTTAAAGATCCACTTCAGGATCCACACCGGCGAGAGGTCGCACGTGTGCAAGGAGTGCGGCAAGGGCTTCACGAGGCGTTCAAAATTGGAGGCGCATTCCGCGTCGCACACGGGCGAGTGGCCACACGCGTGCGGCGAGTGCGGGAAGGGCTTTGCGCAGCGCTCCGATCTGGAGAAGCACAAGAGGAAGCACACCGGCGAGAAGCCCCACATCTGCAAGGAGTGCGGGAAGGGCTTCGCGCAGCGCTCCTGCCTAGACAAGCACACCATCACGCACACCGGCGAGAAGCCGCACGTGTGCGGCGATTGCGGGAAGGGGTTCAAGTGGCGCGAGCAATTGGCGGCGCACTCCATCACGCACACGGGCGAGTGGCCGCACGTGTGCAAGGTGTGTGGGAAGGGCTTCGCGCAGCGCTCCAAGTTGGAGGGGCATTCCGTGTCGCACACGGGCGAGTGGAGACACGTGTGCGGCGAGTGCGGGAAGGGCTTCGCGCAGCGCTCCGATCTGGAGAAGCACACGAGGACGCACACGGGCGAGAAGCCGTTCGTGTGCGGCGAGTGCGGGAAGGACTTTGCGCACCGCTATCATCTGGAGAAGCACAAGAACACACACCGGTGAGAGGCCCGTGGGTGTGCGAGGAGTGTGGGAAGAAGGACTTTCCCAGAGTGCGTACGTATGTACGTGTTGTTGAACTTTCGCAACGTACGTAGCCAACCGTGCTAATCAGAGGTACGGGAAGCGATGATTTTAGAGAGGCGTTCCTAGAACTACCCGGTAGAAATCTTGAATTCTGAGGTTTTTCCCATTTGACATTGAAAGCAATGGTTGAATCGGTTTTGTTTTCTCCGGAATACATTTACCGATTTGTGTATTGTGCTCGTGAACGATGTGTATTAATTAGTAGGGATGTATTTAAGACCGCAACAGGAGGATGATGCTGGTTGTAATTACCGGCAAAACCTCACGGTACTCGAATTGTAAATGTCGTGGGTTTACTCTCCAACACACAACCGGTGAGTGCTGAACTAAGTTGGCTGTGTCTGGGTAGTGGTGGTGGTTGTGCTGCTCCCCAATGCATCCTCGTTGGGATTTCATTTGATTTGTACGCATGATGAACTTCGCACTTGATGATTGGCTCACTAGTAACGACATCATATTTATCTCTCTAAGACCAAAACAGGAGGAAGATTTCTCCACAACTCTCTGGCTGTCGCCTGATAAGGCTGGTTGTGATTACCGGCGAAACATCACGGTACTTGAATTGTAAATATTGTGGGTTTACCAGAGGTGGGACAAAGTCATTGTTATGCAAGTCCAAGTCGAGTCTGAAGTCATCAAATTCATGACTCGAGTCTGACTCGAGTCCAAGTCGCATGACTCGAGTCCACACCTCAGAGGTGGGACAAAGTCATTGTTATGCAAGTCCAAGTCGAGTCTGAAGTCATCAAATTCATGACTCGAGTCTGACTCGAGTCCAAGTCACATGACTCGAGTCCACACCTCTGGGGTTTACCCTCCAACATACAACAACCGGTTCATGCTGAACTCGTAAACGAATTGGACACGTTTAGTTTACGTGAGAAACCCTTTACAGATTGGCTGTGTGTAGGGTGGTGGCAAGTTTAACAACACAATTATATTTACGTGATCTAACCCAACACAAAACTATTATTATGGGTAATATTGTTTCAACGTCGATGATTTCAAAATAGACCTTCGTCAGACCCCAACGCACCTTTGGCGGCTCCCACATTGTTGTGGTGAACCTTTTTTGGCAGTATCCAAGATGATGAAAAAAATAAGAATAGGTTTTACTCCGTTCTTGCAATAAAACAGGTGGTCTTAAGATGTTCAAACAGTCTGCATTAATCACACGTACTTGTGGTTGTAAAACTTGCAAACAAAAATGCTCCGATACCATGCATTGTCTGTTCACCTTTTAGTATTCGCTGGTCTAACACTGGTGAGACAAGGCCGTACAATCGGTTTCAAAGACAATGCATACATTATTATGATGTTTATTTACATGTTTTGACAGAAGTATGTGTGGATAATGCAGACTTGATGCCTTGCAAAAAGGTATCTGGTGTTTGATCATCTTAACACCTGATTTATTGCCAGAAGCAGTAAAACTTATTCTTATTTTTTCGTCATCCTACATTGTTCATTGCCCGAGATCCTTCATAACCAACCTGCACATCTCTTCAACACTCCCACATGTTAGACTTTTCCCCCCCCTCCTCCACCCCACCCCTCCCGTGTTCATTAAAATGAAAGAAACGGCCAACCGCTGCGATAGTCCAGCTTTTTAAGCCCTGTAATTGAGGACGCGTATGAATGACCCTGTAAAACATGAGGCGGTTAACTGTGTGTTTATCGTTGGAAGTGTATAGTGCATTGCGCATCGTGAATAGGAAAATATTTTTACTTCATGTGGTGATAAACTGGTGATATCAGAATCATTTCGGTATGAATAGATGTGACATCGGGTGTGTGTTTGTGTGCGCCCCTGAAGTGGAGTGGCGGCGCAGTGATTAGCGCGCTGCACTACGAACCCGGCGACCCGAGTTCGATTCCCGCTCACGGCCAACACCAGTGATAGCCATTATTTGAACCAGTACTGGGTCTCCCCGAGGTCGACTCAGCCTCAAATGAATACCTGGTGCGGTGTGTAAAAACATTGCCACTAGGGAAACAAAGGCGGTCGGGCATGGTGCTGGCCACCCACCCCCTCGTGTGCCGTCCCGACTTTAATAGGTGCTGCTCGCTAACAGCACATGTCCCAACGGTCTGTTCAGGCTGTAACAGGGATCTGCGTCTTTATCTTTTTGCCCATGGAGTGATGCACAGGCCATTTCTCAAGTAGGCTAATATTGGACAGTTTAGAATTCTGTGGATTACTTCCATTGAGATGTTAAATATACGACATGAGCGTCCATTGTCGTGGAAAGTACACAAGATGACAACTAAACAAAAAGTTGCAATTCATACCAAACATAGGTCAACATAGTCAATGTCCAGTAGCCAGTTGACGGCATTCATGACATTGTCCGGCCAGAAGAATCCAATGAGCTATGAGGCAATTTTTTCCCCACAAATATTCAGTAGTAGGGGGCGGGTCAGCGAGTTATAACATTGCTCACATAATCGGTCCGCCCTGTCCCCTCTCCTCCCATCATGCATCCTTTCAAGGAGTCTGGGGTCGGCTAAATAGACAATAAAAAAAGAATACAGTTCTGAGACGGTGAGTATTGACTCTATGTTGTGTTCTGTCATCCGGAGAAGTGGGCGACTCGACAACGGCTGAATACCAGGGGGGTTTGTGAAACACCAAAACGTTACAGACAGTCCCTGGGTTGCGGAAGACCCGAATTACGGAAATCCGACCTTACGGAAATAAATCATGTTACAAAAAATTTAATACGCGGAAATGTTTGTGTTATGTAAGCACAAGTAGTGCAGTGCGGTGAGGTTGTGGCTTCAGTAGGATTAAGCTAACTGTAATTTGTTTATTTTGGGTGGAAAATTGTTCAGTTTCCAACATACGGAAAATTCAGGATACAAATCATTCTTCGGAACCTATCCCTTCCGTAACCCGGGGACTGTCTATACTGTATTTCAAAAGTCCTCTTGGGAAGGGCAATTGTGTACCTGCAATAGCGATCAGAGATTCCCTCCACGTCACAACCTTGCAGATGAATTCCTCAGTCAAATTGTGATAACAGCCGCTTATCATATGTGTAGTGACTGGGAATGTCACTGTGTGGTGCCGGGCCTGCGAGCCCACGGCAGGATGTATACTGTTGTGTATACACCCCGGACACGGGGTGTAGTACCAGCCCTAGTGGGGGCTTGGGTGAGCGCTGGTTAAGCGCGGTGGCACCACGCACAGCGTGCGGTGCGGGCTCCCGTTGAGAAAGCGAGGGAGTGTCATCCAGCTAGGGTTACGTTGGGGGCATGATACTCTGGCTGACCTGGGGACATGTGACCGGATGATACTGGAGGGGAGCCACCGGTGGAGGGGGCTAATGGGTAGTCACATGGTCCGGGAAGAACTCTCGAGAGCCTTTGGGCAAGGGCGAGAGAGATGGAGAAGGTGGGCGGGGCGAGAGGCAGAGCCAGCTTGGCCCGATATCAGGGGGGCCCTGTGAGGGGCTCGGGGTTCTTGCTGTTGGAGAGGCAGGAGATCCACGTCAAGCTTGAAGAAGCCTCCAGCCATGCGGTCCAGAACCCAGCTTGTGGTCTGGACCGGGATCGCGGAACCGTGTCTAGTTCCGCCGTAGAGTGCTTAGTTGGGTGGTCACCACCCGAGAGTATGTTGTGTTAATAGTTTAATAAAACGTGTTGCTCCCTAAGACAATGTCTGCGACTCAGTTGGACTCACTACATATTTAACAATATTTACCATATATAACAAAAAATGTACATGATACATTTTAATATCTAACATGAAACATCAGCCCAAAACATCTGTCGTGCCTCCTACAGCCCTTGATAATACTACGTGAACGAAACAATACGTACTTATACAATTGTAGTGACATCGCGGATGTCACTGTGTGGTGCCGGCCCTAGAGAGGCACGGCGTGCGATGTACATACATCGCGGACATCACGTATGTAGCAACATCGTGTATGTCACTGGGTGATGCCGGTTCGAGCGAGGCACGGCGTGTGATGTATTTACATCGCGGACACCCCATACATGTGGGTGTAGTACCAGCCCTAGAGGGGCTCAGTGAGCGCTGATGGAGAGCACTGAGTGGCACCACGCTCGGCGCACAGTGCTGTCCCCAATAGGAGGGGGTGTGAGAGTGCCGGCCATGAATGGCGTTAATGTAGGCCATGGCACTCTGGTTAACCCTAGAAGGCACGTGATGGGTGAAGTCTACACAGGGGCCCGAAGTGGGGGCTAGGGGTGGTTACGTGTCGAGATCCTGCTAGAGGATTCAAGAAGGTGGTCGTGGCCAAGGGCGGGGCCAGCCACGACCAGTAAGGATATAAACCGGGTCCCCAGAGGGACCGGGGTGCATCATTACTGTTGTTATCCTGAAGATCTGTGTTCTACGTTTTACGTCCGAGAAGAGTCACCAACACGTGGACCTGGACCCAAGCCGGGGTCCCGTCCATTGTAGCTACTCCCAATGTAATTAGTGTAGTTAGCCTGGTGGTCCACCACCATAGGTTGTGATCTGGTAAAGGGGCAGTTACCCCTTTGTGTTGGTATCAATAAATGTGTTGCCTCCAAAGAGTACGTCTGCAACTCAGTTGAATAAACTACACAATGGATAATAAATATGTAATGACCGAGACAACAGACCACTTACCTGACATCGTACATGCGAACGGACAGTCAGGAAGTCAATCAAGGCCTCCGATTGGTACAGGGAGGCCTCAAAGACGATTGGTTAGGATAAGAGATTCAAAGGGATCGGAAGAGGGATTCAAAAGTAAAAGGCGGGAAGGGAGGGTTGACTGTAAGGGCGACGGTTGACAATCGTTGGGCTACCCATAGGTATGCAAAATGTTTTTTTAGGTTCTGATATGCTACACAGGTGAGGTCACACCGGCTCCACTCGTTTCAAGAGAAAGCAACTGAACAGGAGCAACTCACATGAAGGAAGGTTTCCATCACGTTGTCATTGCGACGACTTCGGTCACCAGAGCCGGACCATCGGTCACGTAACCCCAACACTGCCCACGTGGCACGTGGGCAATATCACAGACGTCCACCAAGCCTCTGCACAGGCTATTGCATGGCTATATAACCTCTATATGCAGTAAACAGATACAATGATGTCAATAATTTACAAGACAAATTTCATCCAAAGATCCCAATGTTGCAAATTTCACCTTGCCATACAAAAGAATGACGGATTAAAATTGAACCAGGAACATCGCCCCGAATGATACGATACAGATTGGAAGTTCCTAGCAAGGGAGCTGGCATGGAGGTGTAATGACTTCGGAGACAAGGACTGTAGAGGGTTTATTTATAATATGATCTCTTCACAGCGTCCACTCGATAACACAGACGACTTGACATAATGACGGTTTGACTATATAGCGATGACTGACGATGACAACGATGACAGCGTCGAGCCCGATCCCCACAGTAGCCTAGAACCCCTCTTCTCACCTCCTTTATCCGGCAGCGTGGCCTATGCCCCTGCCCCTGGCCACACCCTCTTTTCGAACTCTCTCGCAGGTTCCTGAAGCTCCCAGATCGTTCCCCTCTTTGTTCCCTGGGCTGGTTATTCCCCCTTGTGGCTGCTAATCGTATGTACTGTCTCTGTTGTTACCACTCGTCTCCTATACTGTCTTTACACCAGTAGTTACCACTCGTGGCCGCTAGTCTACGCACTGTCTCTACAGAGGTATAGGGGGAATGGGAGGTGGGCTATTCAAGCAACTAACCCGGATGTGGCAAGATAAACTGTGATAAGCAGGGAACAATGTGGGATGATGAAAAATAGAATACGTGTTACCGTTTCTGGCAATAAATCAGGTGTTAAGATGTTCAAACACCAAATAAAAACCTTTTTGCAAGGGATCAAGTCTGCATTAACCACACATACTTGTGGTAAAACATGCAAACAAACATGCTCTGATAATGCTTGCATTGTGTTTGAAACTGATTGGCCTACACCGGAGACAGCCTTTTCTATGGCCTTGTCTCACCAGTGTCAGACCAGAGAATGCCATAAGGCGAATAGACAATGCTTATATTATCAGAGCATGTTTGTTTGCAAGTTTTCCCGCACAAGTATGTGTGGTTAAGGGCTAACGTTCGAATAACCTTGCTTCATTCTCAATTGTCAAGTCAGTCCAACTCAAAACTGGACCAGTGGCAGTCCTACGGGTGGTAGCTCAGTCTTACATTCCCTTACCACTTCACGATTAGTTTGTCCTTCCCCCCCCCCACCACCTTTGATTAGCACGGGTTGGCTATGAGTGGTGTGAAAGAAGTTGAACATACATGATGTCAATTCTTACTTTGGCACTAAGTGGGGGGAAGTTGCCAACAGTTTGAATTATGGCTTACTCACATTCTGGCGTGGTGTTCAGTCAAGAGCTCTTCAAATTTCACGAGCTTAGTTTTAGACTGGAAAAGGCATTGGTAGCGTTGCTCTTGGATCTCACGATGATGACACGGAAAGATGTCGCGTATTTCACGGATTGGGAAATAGATAAGCAAAAAATATGCAGAGGGACATTGTGATTTATTGCATTCCCAGTTTAATATTCCTGAAAACAGACTCCACCCGCCCACCCCCTCCCCCCACTACTACCACCCTGCTAATCGACGGTGGCGAGATGTTAACTACCTCGCCAGGCATACAGGAGGTCATGAATTCGATCCCGGCCCTGATGCCTGCTGTATATTTGGAGTTTGCGTCTCTCTCTCCCCGTGGTTGTGTGGATTTTTCGTCGGGTCCTCCGGTTTTTCTCCTCCACATTTAAAATCAACATCACACGTGTAGAGTAGTTTGGCTGCTATAAATGTCCACGCAATGATAAGCCACTTCGTTGAGCTATAATTTGTGATAGGTCGCATCTTAAAAAGAGAAACAGCTCAGTGTGGGCCTTACCTGGTAAAACAAAATAAAAATTGTTGGAACTAATAATTGTAATCCTCTCTTTAAACGACTCTCACTGACGAGATCCAGACATACTTCTGTAATAAAAGACTCGGACGCTTCTCTTTCTGTCCTGTGTCTTTTATTTGGGTTCGATCTCTTTTCTCTCACGGCACTCCCCTATATACTCTTCACTCTGCAGCCCCAGGCTGCTGTCGCTCACGTAGCCCCCTCCTTCCTCTATATACTCTTCGCTCTGCAGCCCCAGGCTGCTGTCGCTCGCGTAGCCCCTCTTAGCAGACCCGCTGCTGTCTCGTCGTGCAGACCCCCGCTGCCAACTCCGCCCTTGCAGACCCGCTGCTCTCTGCAGCCTTCTCGCTGCTCCTGCTGCCCCGGGGTCGGTCACCGCTGGCCGACGGTGCCGATCCTCGGGGTCCGTGTGTGTGGCGATCTCGCCACTCTCTCTCTCACACTCCGCCCTGCGTGACCTCACACTTTCCCAGTCTCCGTTCACTCCCCTACTGCTTCCGGTTTCTCCCCTTATAGACCTGAACCCTCTCCCCCACGTGACGTAACTCCTCCCCCCATGACGTCACTTCCGGGAGGTCGTTTACGCCCGCATTACACCACCCTCCCCCGTAGAGAAAATCCAGCCGACCTCGGCTGAACACAACTCCAACAAGCAATGCGAGCGAACACGACCGAATATAAAAAAGGACACAGAACACGCAATATTATATCGAAAGAACAAGAACACAACACAATAATTAACGAAATGTGAGGGATTTTGAGCGGGTGCGGGTCGCCGGGCCGTCCCGGACGGTCGGCGGCCCTCCCGCCGAGCGGGAACGTGGCAGGGTTTTGAGAGCGACAGGCAGAAGTTCGTCTGTCGCTATTGGAGGCCTGGCAACGTCCCGGTCCCTCAATCTCGAAGGCGCAGCATCAGAGGCGTCCCGCAATCGCGTCCGCGGCGGGGTTGGAAGGGCTGCGGGTATCAAAGGTTCCGCAGCCGTGTTAGGCGCACCCCGAGCTGAGTCTTCCTTCCCCTGCCGCGTCACGGCCGGCTCGTCTGTAAAAGGCACGACAGGCGCTCTTGCAAGGTCAGCAGGCACCGGCAAAGGCGAGTCGGCAGCAACAGACCCCGGCAAGGCAACCTCAGGAGATGATGCATCAGGTCGAGGGGCCACGTATGGTTTCAACCGAGATGTGTGGACGAACCAACGCCGAGATCCGAACCGAACACGCGCCGACTGTGGGTTGGGAACCTCGATGAGGCGAACCGGCCCCTGCCATGGTTTATGTAGCTTAGGAGACAGTGGCGGCTCCTGCAAAATCTCTTAGGGGGGGCAAATGTCTGGATGATTGATAAGGATAAGGTCCTGCCCATGCAATGAATAAATTAACAGCTTAAGCATGTAAAGGCAACTTCACTTCTTTAATATTAATGAAAAATAAAGTGACTCTTACAATACATCTTGTTTGTTTATATACTCACTATTAAAACAAACCACTCAAGTTTATTTTATTAAAGATTCCACTAGGTAGCGATAAATTATATTGTTGGATGAAACGTGCTTACGTATGATGACGTTAGCACGTATGATGACGTAAGCACGTTAGGGCGAGCCCTTCCGGAAGCCATAGATAATGCATT